ATTTTTGTCAAATATACTTTGCTGTTCTGCAAAACAATGATCGGTTGTAGTTTTGTTACCTGGCTTTGCTTGATGTAAAGCTTTTATCTCGTTATATACACCCACTGTGTGTGGTTGGGCTGCTGTAAGCAGGACCTGCTCCATCTCTAGTCAGATGGCATAATTAGAGGGAAATTAGAAGCTAAGTGGAATCACTTGACTGGAACACTGCAGCCCCTGTGAATATCTGGCTTAATCTCACTGCACCGAGTCACTCAGGGGATTCAGGTTACTCACAAGCATCAGCAGAAACACACACTTTGCTTTGTGAAGACTCAGAACTAGCAAATTTACTAAGTTGAGTTACCTACTTAATGAAAAATTGTTGACATAGCCAATAGGGCTGCATGATATTCGTGAGATGGCGATACTTTCTCTAACTTTTTTAGGTTGACATTCGCTTCTGAAGTAGTGCTAATGTCTATCTCACACAGCGAGATAATTATGCCTTCCTTTTTTTTCTTTTTTTAGTCCAGATTTCCCCCTTCCGACAATCTTGAGGATGACCGATCATTAAGATCTTTAGATCATTTTAAAATATATTCCTGCTGTGTGTGTTGTGCTAAGAGTGATCTGATCTGCCCAGACGGGACGTTGGGGCCGCTCCGATATCGTTGGATTGTTTTATCCCAATATTGCGACGTCTCAGAAGGGGACAAAATCGACATAAAAACATTATGTGCACTAGGCATTCCCCAAGGACAAACGAGAAGGCAGTTTGTTGAAGGTGAAAGTGAGGTGATAACGAATCCAAACTACACAGAAGATCAAAAAATTGCCATAACGTTTGTTTTTTATCTGTTAAACATAATCCAGAAACATTGGCTGCGCAGCTGATGCTACACCGAGGGCGGGTCACGCTGGAGGAATGTTACTGTAAAATGTGCCTGCTTAAAGTCGGACTTTAATTGGCTTCTCTGAAGCTTTCGCAGGTCCACTAACACTCACATAGCACCTGATGAATTTACAGACTCTCCTAATGCACATAAAAGTTCCCGTTAACACTCCTACACAAACACCATCGCTCATAAATGCATAAGTATGCACATTAAACCTCGCGCTGGATCCCCGAGGCATACACATTCCTACTACTGTAACCTGAGTTACGGAGAGACACAAACCAAAGCAACACTGATAAACAGCAATATGTTCTGACTAAAACACCTACACAACAGGATCTTCTCTGTGATGACTGTAAAGCGCGCACGTGCGTGCACACACACACACCGATTAGCATCTGAGCGTAATCCAAGCAGAGCAGCTGATAACACAAAGCATCTTTTGGCTGCAGTGAAGCTTGGATTGCAGCTCAGGTTGCCCAGGCTGCACTTTATCATGTAATAATGAAGGATTTTCTCAAAGCAGAACCCATCTAATGCAGCAGAACTCATTCAGCGTCACCGGGAACGGCATCTGTGCAGCTGTCAGCATATAGAGCATCTCTCTCCATCTTTAAGATAGTTTTATGATCTCCTTGTTACTCAGAGAAGTTTAACAGAGGACATGTCCAGAAATAGATACAGCTTTGTGTCCTACTGTATTACATACATTGTCCTCTTTATTATAAACCAGTCTGACCACAGATAAGAACACACTGGCTCATCTTTCACTGGCCAGTATGTCCCAAAACATCCCACACATGCTTTCTGTCATAGCCCACATTCTTCAGGCAGATGCCAAACAGAGGAATAATTTTTTAAGCGCAGTACAGAGACATCACACTGCCCTCTGCTGACACGCGTTGTTTACCCACCTTCCCTTTTAGAGGAAACCCTCCTCCTCTTCCTCCTTTCCCTCACTCCTACAGACAATGTTTTAGGTGCCTCATTAGAGCATTCTTGCTGGAAAGTTGTAAATAAAGTCTTGACCTGCCTGACTCTGTGGACGGTTACCCTACGGTTCAGCGTAGGCAGACTGAACACGGGGTTCACAAATGTATTGGTACGCTACATCCCAATGTTCCCGCTGACCCACGCAGCACAGCTAGTCATCTGCAGACTGATTTGAGGAGCGAGATATTCAAGGGTCAATTGTGCTTTACTCTATGTCCTCCACTCAACCAATTATTTAAGATGGCACTAAGAATTGAATGGACGCCTTTGTGAGTGCCTACAATTACTTGTTCTCAGGCATGATTGCATTACGAAGCAGTTTTCAGCTCCATCAGTTTATAAACGCTTGATGACATCGAGCAGAGAGGAACGCGCCGATGGAAAAGCTTTTAGAAGAGGTGGTGGAACTGGGAACCCGTTTCACTTTGGAAGCTGCTGGCCTAATGGGCACCAGTACAGATATGGTTTTATTTTAATTCCTTCAAAACCAACACCCAGAGAATGTTTTGTCAGCTGTTTTAGGCCGCTTTGCTCTAAGTTCCTGGTTTTTGGTCTTGACACAAGGCTTTAATTAACTGGGCTAATCGCGATGAATTGATGATTTAAATAATTGTCGGCTAATTTGGTAATAGATTAACTGGATTACATAGACTTAAAAAAGGCAAATTGCTAAAATTACATATTCACAGGAGCAATTAAGCCAAAACTGTACAAAAAATACATTTTGCATATAAGATTTAAAAAAAAGTCTTTGTCTGAAAATATATCCTAGTACCCAGAACTCAAGTGGTGTAGTTGTAGCTTCACCTGGTTCAAATTTATGTAAAAACAAAAATAAACACCTTTTGCTATCTAGTTATTCATTATTAATCCAAAAATACCAGTCAATACCAGTCCAATTTATCCTAATTATTAACTATTGCATTTAAGTTCAGTTTGTTTTTTCAGTTTTCTGTCTAAGGCATCTCAAGTCTTTGACTTGCAGCATTCACTCCTCCTGGACGAGCGTGTGTTAACAGAACAATTGCTTTGTCGTGGCGTTGACTTAACAGCAATTCCTCATTCTGAGCATGCACGCAGCGACAGTGGGGAGAAAAAACTCCCCAAAAAAATCTAGCAAAACCCAGAACCCGGTTCAGTGTGAACGGCCGACTATCCAAGTCGTGGGTGTTTGAGAAGGAAGAGCATTACACTCAGGAAAATAAAAACTCTGATGTAGGAATAATTTGTATGTTTGTTGTTTTGTTTTATTTTGCTGTCACATGCGCACCCTGAGAACTGAGAGACGGCGTCAGAAAGGACAGAAACCCTTGGTAAAGTGTGAATGTTGAAGCTTTGACCTACACCGAATCTATTCAACGGGATCCAAATAAAACACACACAACCTGTTAAGAACAGGAAATGTCAGTCATCAAAACACAGAGTGGAAGTGAAATGCTCTGATCTCTTTTCTCTGGTGCTCTCTCCACCGTGTTGCACTTTGTGTGTACATGTATATTTGATCCTTTCTTCCCGTAAGAACTTTTAGCACGTCCTCGGAGAATAGGTGGTGCTATCTGATTTACTGCATGTTTACGCAACAGTTGGGTTACACGAGTGTAGCGGCTCGCTGTTTTTAAACCTAATCCGAGTGGAGGAGGGAGAGCTTTGACATTATCTGGATTTTTTTCAGTTTAGTAAATTAATCTGTGGTAACTGACACACACACTCACAGATTGTTTTCCAGTTGAAAAATTCAGATGATGGCCTGAGGTTTAATTTAAATTAAGGTTTAGGCTCCACGCTTGCAGACAGAAAGCATTCCTGAATGAGTTTGATTCAGGTTCCCCATTCCAGAAATGTTCCCAGGAGTTTTCCTTCACTATCTGTGAAGTCCGGGTTGTGATAGCGCAGACAGTAGTGCCTCTGTGGGCAGCAGAGCGGGTGGTAAATAAAAGCGTAGTTTCAGCATGTTTCTCCCATCTTGTCTGTCCATCTGAGCAGCACAGACACACACTTCTGCTGGCGGAGGAATGTAGCCGAGCTCCGGCCGCTCCAACAAACGTACTCTTGTGAAAGCACTTGGCAGAACTGCAGCCACAGCGCACTCCAACCGAAAGCCACTTTGTTTGGCAGCCATCACTATGGTGAAAAGGATATTTTCTGATGTATTTTTTTTATTTTTTATTCCCAAATATGTGAATGGAATGTTTTCAGAACCACTTTAGGAGTCGGTCACTGGATGTACAAGACTGGTGAAAAGCTAAAAATGTTTAGAAAAACACAATTTATTGGAATGAATAATTTGCACAGATTGGTTTACTGTGCTGCTTGCTTTGCATTGATCTGGAGAAGTATGGAAAACATGCTGTGTGGAAAGATCCTTCCCTAATCTTTCTCAAAAACCTGTCTGTCATTCGTTCATCAAAACAGTTTGTCCATCTGTCCACATGTCCAACCACTGGCCTGTTTTATATCCGTCCACCCTTCCGCTCATCTGTCTATCATTCCATTAATCCATTGAGACATTAATACATTCATTTGCACGTTTATCTATAAGTTTATCCATCCATCCACTTTTCCATCCGTTCACCTTTCCATTTGTCTATCAGTTCATCCAGCTTTTCATTTGGTCATCCCTCCATTCAGTTGTCTGTCTGTTCATTCCTCCGTCCACCTTTTCGTTTCTTCACTCGTCCATTTACCTTTCCATCTTTTCATTCATTCATCCACCTTTCCGTCTGTTCATCTGTCTGCCCGTTGATTGTTTTTTTTTTCTTTCATCCATCTACAATTGACAGATTTCTATCGTATTTAAACTTGAACATTTGCTCAATAAGGATTGAGGGATCTGGGGATTAAATCTGGGAAAGTATGATATTTTGTCAAGCATGGTGTGTAGAAAATACATATTTTTCATCCTCACGACTCTGGGAATGAACTTTGAAAACGGAACTTCGTTTTTTGGGACATTTTGATTTTCTGGGATGTTTAATAGACATTTCAGAATCAAATTCCTCCCTGGCTGTTCTTGATCAAAGCATCCTGGCAGAATCAGATGATGTTAAACTAAAAGTAGAAGAAGAGAAAGAGAAATGCGGAGCCTAAGGAAGTCATTTTTACTAAACATTGTATCATGTGTCTCCACAGCCTTTCTTCAGACTATTAAACTTACGGAAGCTCGGCTTGAGTGACAATGTGATCCAGAGACTCCCTCCTGAGGTGGCCAACTTCATGCAGCTGGTGGAACTGGACATCTCCAGAAATGGTACATAAACACTGACTCACTTTGCAGCCCCTGTGAGACCAAAAGAAGAATCAAAAGATTGATGTGTTGCTTCATGAATTTCTAATCCTTTAAATTTGCATAGATTGCAGAAATGAAACCAAAAGTCAACACTGACTCCTCCCTTTACATGCAAGGTGAAGCATTTCAAACATTCCTGATTGTTGCTGTGATCTACACAGACACTGTGCCCTGTCTGTCCTTGCCTTTGATACCGAGTGGCAAGCAGGACATCTATTAAACCACACGCTGCTGTGAGAGCAGGGCGCCTTGGCCTGAAAGAGACTTTCCCATCTGTCTGCCTGCGTGCCTCCCAGCTCTGAGCGGGGCCGCTTCCCTCTGTAGGGATTTATTAAGATGCACCTGCAACATCCAGAGCTGAAAGATCACATTTCAAGACTTGGCAGGGAAGTCACTTAAAGATTTATTACAGCGCAACTGTTTAACTAGATCCAGGCACCCACCTGGCCCACAAACAGTCATTTCTACTTTTAGAAGCCAGAAATTCAAGTTTTGAAGGACTTTCGAGGAAGAGAATGTGTAATAGTTCCTTAAATGAGAAGCCTGGTTAGCACAAGCCTTTATAACAGAGATACTTGTTTGTCTTTTGCATATGTTTATTTTAATTGATGAAGTTCGCTATGAATGGGTGACAGTTATTTAGCAGAGAGCTTTTTCCATCTAAATCAAAGTAATTAGCGATGCCGAAGATATTTTTGCACGTTACTTGATGTATGATCATAGTGACGCTTTCCTTGCAGGAGTGTGCACAGATATTTTAAGGGGCAGGTGCTCAAAACACCTGGACCCCACCGCTGTCTGCAGTGTGAGATTTATCTCAGCTTCAGTCAGGCAAACTTACAAAAATGTGGGGCAGCAGTAATACAGGCTTTCAGATCCAGACACGCTTCCTTGAGCCACCAAAAAAATAAAAAGTCAGGACCACACTTTTTTTTTGTCAAGAGGAAAAAGAGCAGGTGCTCTAGCACCACCTAGTGTTGATCCGTGCACGTCCCTTCATTAAGGTATGATTAAAGCTAAAGTGATAAATTATTACCTCGTCTGACCCATTTGCAGAAATCCCAGAGATCCCTGAGAGCATCAAGTTCTGCCGGGCCTTGGAGATCGCAGATTTCAGTGGAAATCCGCTCGCCAGGTAAACACTGCAACTTCCCTGTATTACGTTAAGGCGATATCAAATTAGGTTTAATACTAGTTGCACAATGGCTTCGTATTTTAGATTGTTTGCGTTTGGCTTGTATGTCCATAAAAAGTATGTAAGGCTTAGTTTCTTCCAAGAAAAGATTACATGAAACAAAGTTTGAGTAGATCATAGTTGATATCGCAACGCTTCTTGGATTTGTATCAGTTTCACAATAATCCACATAAGAAGCCAGTTCAATCCTCTCATTCATTTTGTGCAACTCTTCTATGTTGCAATCTCCCAAGTTCACTTTTTTCACACGAGAGAAGAACAGTTGAACCTCTGAATATCTGAGCAGAAACCCTTGGATAATTCATGCAGAGTACAAGAGCGTTCTGAGAATCTCTCACCGTTTCCTCTTCTCGTCTCTCTGCCACAGATTGCCGGACGGCTTCACTCAGCTGCGAACGCTGGCTCACCTTTCCCTCAACGATGTGACATTACAGACGTTACCCAGTGACATTGGAAAGTATGTATCACAGAAACATGTTGCTATTTGGTTTTATATTAAAAATATTCCAGTTAAATTTTTTGGGGTAAATAATTTTTTTGTGTGTGTGTTTTGAATGTTACGGATTATCTAAAATAAATGGTTTGCTATTTTCAACTGCCGTTTACAGCACTTTACAAAATTATTCATAACCTCCAAATATTCAGTTGAACAACTTCTATGGCTAAGTGCCTCATAGGAATTGGCTCATAATTGTGAGTTTTTAGGAAAAGATGCCAGTTTTTAAAATTTTGACGCACATTTGTGGTGTTCTCATCTCAGTAAAGGCTTTCTGGAACCTCCTTTCACTGCAGTTACAGTTGCAACTCTGCATTGGTTAGATTAAAAATGTTGGTTGTGATGTGACAAAATGTTAGAAGAACCAAGAAGTGTGACTATTATTGCAAGGCCTTTAATAAAAAAGATGTGAAGCTGCTCAATTGAAGCCACTCAGACGATTCACCCGCTGGGAGACGGTGCAGATGGACAAGCCCCTCACCGTGCCAGGCAGCCCGGGCGATCAGACCTGCCATCTGACTAACCAACTTCTCTTCCTCTTCCTCCCTCTTCCTCCTCTCCTGTCTCTCCCGTTTAAAAGCCTGGCCAACTTGGTGACGCTGGAGCTCAGGGAGAATCGGTTGAAGTCTCTGCCTACGTAAGCGGCATTTTCAGTCATTTGAAAACATCCAAGATTAATATTTTTACAAAAGCTACACAGCAGCCTTCGGTTGCATTCTGTACTGAACGGTATGCGAGGCAGGACTCTTTGTTCCTCTGGGTAGATACTCGGGTGACATAACTTCTTCTGCGCAGGTCGCTCTCTTTCCTGGTGAAACTGGAACAGCTGGACCTTGGCAGCAATGAACTGGAAGTTTTGGTTCGTTAACATCTCCTCTGCTTCTCTAGATAATTTTCTCGCTCAACTCCCGAGTGACCTTCATTCTTTTTGAAATGATTATGATCCAAAACGCATGTTTACCTCAGCAAACGCAGCTTAAAGAGACGCTTTTATTGCAGGAACTCCCTCCTGTCTCGACAGGACAGGGTAAACACGACACAGGGCGGACTCTGAGCAAACAGTGACTTCATGATGAAACCCTGTCCACGTGTTCAGTCATAAGCCAACGTTTCACATGTGTAATTTTGAGCTTTAGATGATGCATCCATTATGTTTAATAACAAAACAAACTTTATACAATTTTGACGAATAAGTATTTGATGCACAAGCTTCTTTTCATAACAGGAATTCTCTATAGTTTAGATTATACACACAGTAATTAAAGAAGATTGAGGATCGTATATATTCTCTGAATATATGCAGTCTCAAACGTATAAACTAGGGCTGTAAACATTTTGTTTATACTCACGTTATCATATTTACTAAAAATCATGGATAAAATATTACAGAAAAGTGCAATCCTGCAAGAATTGAACCAACTATCTGTTTGGCACCAGTTTTTAGCAGATCTAGAGAACAGGAAGCCATGACTTATTAACATCATGCTCAGATGCATTCTTGAGCTCGAGGTTTCGGTTTTCTGGGATCTCTTTTTTTTAACAACCTTCGGATGAAAACGCATTTAGCAGAAATCTGATTTCCTTGTCTTTGCACCGAAAACGGCAACCTTATTTTCTGTTTTCAACACACTTTCCTTGTTTCTCTTGTCCTTTATCCTGTTTTGTTTTAGCCGGACACGCTCGGCGCTCTCCCCAACCTGAGGGAGCTGTGGTTGGACCGTAATCAGTTGTCTTCATTACCACCTGTAAGTACAGTTTTTAAATGAAACTCGTGACGTTTTCCTTGAAGAAAATGACCATGCTGCGCTCTGATTACACAGTCGTACCTGTTCGTTTATTTTCTGTGCGCAGGAACTGGGAAACCTTCGGCGGCTGGTGTGTCTGGACGTCTCTGAGAACCATCTGGACAAGCTTCCTTCGGAGCTGAACGGCCTGCTGGCTCTCACCGACCTGCTGCTCACACAGAACCTGCTGGAGGTCGTCCCAGACAGCATAGGTGAAGAAACTTCACCAGACTGGCTTCTGCAGGAAACCTCTGAAGCTTGCAAAATGTTTTTTTTTCTCTTGCAAAATGATAGTTGAAATAGAGTTGGTTTGACTCATGTTAAACTAAGATGATGCTGCCCTCTGCTGGAATAATGATTTCAATGGAAAAACCTGACCAGACCTGCACCAAGTCTCTGAATTGAATTATTTCTAAGGCATGTACCTTAGAAATAAACATTTCATTAAACTGTTTTCCAGATTTGGATAAATTTTGAAAAATAATAATTAGAAGGATATGGGCCTCTGGGCTGGTGCCAGTTTTGACGCCCCACCCCATGAAATAATAATAATAATAAAAATTTTCCTCATCCAAATGACACTAATAGGTTTAAAACGTCTCAGAGTTTTCAAATATTTGAGTTTTGTTTACAATAATAAAACACTTTTTACAAGCCTATAAGTTTTATATAAGGTACAACGTAAAACATGCGTTCTAAGTCCTTGGCGCCCTGGGCTACTGCCACTGTAAGCCTTTTCTAAAGTCTGAGCCAGTGTGGGGAAAATATGTGCATCTCCAGACTTGATTTCCAGTGTCATTGTCTAAAATGCTGTTCCAGCCACGCTTCCAACCTTCCTGAACTTTGTGTTTAAAAGTTAAAAAGATAGATCCCTGCAAATAAGAATAAAGTTTTGTCTCCGTTTCTGAGGGATGTTTTGCTGTGCGTTTTCTTCCCAGGTTGTTTAAAGCAGCTGTCCATCCTGAAAGTGGACCAGAACCGACTAACTCAGCTGACCGACTCTATAGGAGAGTGTGAAAACCTCACAGAGCTTGTCCTGACGGAGAATCATTTACAGGTACCCCCGACTTTACTCCGATAAACTTAGACCGCTTACGCACACGATCCGAATTAACCGGATTGAAATCTCCTTTCGTTTCACCTCGCAGTCACTTCCTCGCTCGCTGGGCAAGCTGAAGAAGCTGACGAACCTGAATGTAGACCGTAACCGGCTCGGCAGCGTGCCCAAAGAACTCGGCGGCTGCGCCAGCCTCAACGTCCTCTCGCTGAGAGATAATCGCCTGAGCAAACTGCCTGCTGAGCTGGCAGACGCCACTGAGCTGCATGTGCTGGATGTGGTCGGAAACAGGTAGCAGCACCTGAACCGTTTAGATTTTGTTTGATTCATGGAAAAAATAATCTATTGGTGTCACGATGAGTCGTCAAATCTGGAAAAGTCTGGGTCATTTTGGGAGTGGGAAGAACTGGATTAATTTGGAGGGGAAAAAATGCATTTTTATATTCTCAATTTTATTTATCTAATGTTTTTTCCCAAATAGTTGTTTAGATTATAAATTTCTGAATTCTGGTGTGACAATATCTGGGGTTTTTTCTGTAATTTCTCACTTTTTACACTTTTTACTGGATGACAAATTATCCCAGAAATTATTCAATTGTCCTTTTTGAGACCATTTCAACTAATATACATAATAAAAGCATGATAATCTGCATATACCTTCTGAAAGATCAATAAACTTTAATTTTCAAAGAACGTTTAGCACTGGAACTGGAAGACTTGTCAAACAAACAAAGCAAAACAACCAAAACAATAAATACAATTGATTATAAAGTCTCAAAATAAAAAAAAATTGCCCTTTAAAACATATTAATCATTCTCAGACAGGGAAAACAGGCAACGCTGCCAGGTGGGACTTTTGTAAAATTAAAAAGTGCAAACTAACTACTTTGTACCATTTGTCAAATGTTAGCAGCAGCTTTTCAATAATATTAAAGGGCAACCTCCCTTTGCAGAGCATGCAAATGGAAAATATTGCTCTCATTTAAATTCATCATGCCATTCACAAATCTATACCTCCATAAATCTTTCTCTCTGTGATCCATTTGAGCAAACAACCAATAGTCTGCCTAATGGATGATTAGACTGTTTTTTTTTTTTTTTTCAGCTCGACCTCTACTATAATTAAATTCTTTGTAAACTTGATGTTTACACTTGATACACAGATTTACAGTTGGCTCTGACATTTAGGGTTTATTCACGTTTATTCACAGCATCAAATGATATAATTCCTTTAGATGAGGTTTTTGTCTATGTTCTCATTCTGGAGGAAAATGTTCTGGTTGACCTTATTCCATCTCTACCTTTGTCCAGATTACAAAACTTGCCTTTCGCCTTGACAAACCTCAACCTTAAGGCCATGTGGCTCACGGAGAACCAGTCGCAGCCAATGCTCAAGTTCCAGACCGAAGACGACGAGCGGACAGGAGAGAAAGTGTTAACCTGCTACTTACTCCCCCAGCAGCCGTCGCCAAGCCTCGGTGAGCCTTATGGTCTTGTATTTCTGCGATAAAGTGACTCGAATAACGTTTTATGTTCCACTAACAAACTTTGATTATTCAGTGTTGAATTGAAGGCAGATTTGGGTGGTATAAGTTGAGTAAGTGCGCTCGGTGTCCCACAGAGAACCTGCTGCAGAACAGCGTGGACGACAGCTGGATGGACAGCAACCTGAACAGAGTGTCCGTCATTCAGTTCCAGGAGGAGACCAAAGCTGAGGAAGAGGAAGATGATGAAGCTGCAGCAGAGCGCAAGGTGAAAAAAAACGCTACGCCGTCACCTTTGAGCTGAAATAGTTCTTATTCCTACGTATCCATCGTCGGCTCTGATCATTTTGGATGGAAAAGAACCAATCAGAGATTTTGTGTCTTAACGCTGATGTTCACTCAAAAGTCTAAACTACCTATACTAATTTTATTATGTCCCAATTTCTCTTTGGAAACTATAATTACTATCGTTCAAAATATTTTTCCACTTACCTGATTACCTGAATATTTAACTGTCAGTATTTAAGGATAAAATCTCCAGTTTATTGGACAAAGTCATTTTAAAATCGTGTCCTAGAATTGTGTGACAGAGTATGCATAGGCTTTTATCGTTTATTGTGATAAATTTCTTATCATAAAAACAATAAATTCTAGTCCTGGATGTTTAAAGCCCCCCAAAACTTCTCCACTGTTTGTTCAGAGTATCCATAAATTTTAAAATATGATTATGACAAATCTGACGTCTTTATGTGACTGGTGTTTCTCTAGAGCAGAATTTGCTTCTTTCTTCCTCAGGGCCTCCAGCGCAGAGCCACCCCTCATCCCAGTGAGCTGAAGGTGATGAAGAAGGGGATAGAGGACAGGAGGAATGAGCCTTACACAACCAGAACCGATGGAGAAGACGAGTCACTTGACCCACAGGTAATAAAAATATGTAAAGTAAAGATGTTGCGCAGTAAAAATCCTGTAAAACTTTCAGGTATTTTTAGCAACAATTCATCAACGATTTCACTGTTTTTAGGTGAAGCGGCTGAGTAACGTTTCAAATCAGAGCCATGACTCCCAGGTGTCCAACAGCACGCTGTCGGCCACATCCCACGAGGAGAGACACAACCTGGTGGCTCCCTCCCAGCGAGGGGAGCTGGTGAACAACCAGTCCCCCCAGGAGGACGACGACCTGGACGAGATGGAGGTGGAGTACATCGAGGTAAAAACCGCTTCATTAAAATAAAACTAGAACCATGGTCAGAAGTTTGAAAACAATTTTTGTTTTTCTTACACCTTGTACCAGCGTTAGATCTTTGATGTTTCAATAAAAGTAACTGATTTTGTGGTGCAGAAATATCTGCAAGGAATTTTGAGGGACATACTTTGCTAAAATAGTGACTGTGTAAATGTCCCCCAAACTCCTCAAGATCACAATCCTCTCGTTGCTGAAGCTATCCTTTATGTGGGTGTGCCTCTTTTTCCTTCCACTTAACTTTCCATGAACAAACTTGGAGACGGTACACTTTGAATGTCAAGCTTTTTTAGCTACAACATTTTGTGGCTTACGCTCCTTTTGGATGGGATCAGCGACTGTCTGCAGATCAACCGTCAAATAACAATACTCCTAATCTGTAATATTACATTCTTAGAAATGGAATGCTGAGTTTACATCTGCTGTACTCTATAAAATTAAACCTAAACGCTTATCGATGCGATCGATAGACTTGACACAAATTACCACATTAAAATTTGAAGTTTATGAAAAAATCTCCTTCTTCCTACAGCCAACCGTGCACTTTGCAGAAGAACCGATTATCCGGGGCGGAGATGAGGACGACGAAGACGACGGAGAGAACGGCGAGAGGAGCGACGAAGACGACGACAGGCCGGTGATCCCCCCGGAGAAGCAGCGGCTGATCAGAAAGGACACGCCGCATTACAAGAAGCACTTCAAAATCAACAAGCTGCCCAAACCCGAGGCCGTGGCCGCGCTGCTGCAGGGCTTCAGTCCCGACCGGCTCAACTCCCCGACACGGGCTGCAGAGGACGAGCCCGAGGAAGAGGAGGATCAGATCGTAGGCATCCCTCAGCTCCATCACAGAATGGAAGAGCTGGACGACATCCGGCACCAGGGCAACTCCAGCCAAGTAAAGGTAAAACCGATTCGGCTCTGGTAGGATTCGGCACATTTAGTCACTCTGTTCAGACCTGAACCGCACCGCACACACGTTTGAGATTAAAAATAACCTCACCTGAGAAATAAGCTGCATATTAACTTTAATTCTGTGAATAAAATCAGCTTCTCCTGCAGAGCACTGACTCAGATGAAGACTAAACTTCTCACCATTACAAACCATCTGCTGATTTCCACACGCTGCTTTTGTAACATTTCACCCCAATGCTTAGAAATTATGCTAGTGAAGTCTGATCAGGTGCTGCTTATTGTAATTAAACTTTGTAGCATTTGGGGAGACTTGATGACTTGTATTGATTTATGATGAAATCCTGTTTAACACGACAATCATCTCACCAAATCTGTTCTGTGTGTGTTTTCAATGAGTGTGGTTCTGTTTGTGTGGCTGAACTCGGACCAGCCAGAACATCTACTGGCAGAGCTGGAATGTGAGATCCAACGAGCCTGGTTTCCGAATTATCTTAGACTTTTTGTAAATTATGGGACAGATTGGTGCCGATTTCCTAATCCGAAAAATAATTTAAACCTCAAACTAGCTGCGTTTCCATTGATCATATGTTTTCACGAATTGGAAGAAAAATTAGCTCAATAGAAGCACCTCAATTTTGAAAAAAGTTAAGTTTTTCTGTTAAAAAAAACTTGAGTTAGGAGGAACATTTAGTCAAATTATTCACGTATGATTTTTAATTGCTTTTCTTATTTAATGGAAATGCTATAATTGGAAATTTTGTTTCCGACATTAGCTGAATATTGACTTTCTGATTGACTTCTTTAAATGTTGCTTCTAACTTACATTATGTTCTCCCCTCATGATATCTATTTTATGAAGTGTACCAATTCTTCCTACAGCAAAACAGCCCCACAACATGATGGTGCCACCTCTATGTTTCACAGTTAGGATGGTACAAGTATCCCCATTTTTCCTCCAAACGTAACACTGGTTGTTATGGCTAGACAGTTCAGCTTTAGTTCCATATCTCCAAAAATGAAGATCTTTGTCCCTGTGTGTATTTGGGAACTACAATCTGGCTTTTCATATTTCTTTTGAAGTAAAGGCTTCTTCCTCGCAGTACAGAACACACTTCACTTTGGATAATAAAACTGTCTGTTTTCACAAGACTTCCTGATATTTCAGCAGATTTCTTTTAACTTTCCCATCATCTCAGACAGCAAACCAAGGTGTGGCCTTAAAATACATCCACAGATGTTCCGCCAATAAACTCAAAAGTCTCTGACATCATCATCTGGACTTTTCCTTATTGTTTAAGGAAATGGTAATAATTTCTGATTTTGGAGACATTTATAAATATCTGACATTATTCCTCTCATGCTTGTGGCATTTAGCAAATGGAAATAATTTTGGTAATTCTAACTGACCTAAAACAAGAAAGGTTTCAGACAAGGAGAAAAAAATAAACCACATGTGTATTTTATTTATGTAAATTTCTGGTTTCAGTGTAACTATACAATCGGTGTCTATTACATCCACTTTCCTGGTTTTAACTTCCAGTTATCATGTGTTTGACAGCCAGATCTAAAAATGAAATGGTGGCAACTAATGCAGCAAATTCAGTTTTTTAGCACTTCATAAATTAAAGATCAAATATATTTTGTCCCTCTTTTAAATCCAAACCCTGTAGATAAGATGAAGCTTTCTAGTAAGGCAGTTCTTTGTTAGAGTTAGTAGGTTCTTCTTCTGGTTCGGGAGCTTTTGCTTTCTTGTTTTTGCTCTCGCTGCACACTGGTTGTTTGTGTTTTGTTTTGCACTCTGGCTCAGCTCCTTGGTCTTGTCTTTCCACCTCTGCCTGTATTTGCTTTTGGTGGCTGGGGAGCGAATGAGGGATCACTTCTGCTTCAAGGCAGGCAGACAGTGATGTGTGACGTTAATGGGAGAGCGTGTACCGTGTGGGTGTGGGAATGAGTGGATATTTTAATTTTGGCCTGACTAATCCGCATGCTTCTCGCTGGTTCCTGTCCTAACAGGGGGTGTCATTTGATCAAGTCAATAATCTGCTGATTGAACCTGCTCGAATTGAGGAGGAAGAGGTCTGTACCTACTCTTTCCCACCCAGTGTGCCTATCTGTGCATCACCCACCCACCCAGGCTAACACAGGTTTAGGAAGTGGAGAAAACAGTCACACAAATCAAATTAACCTGAGCCAATCACAAAGAAAACTAACAGATCCGTTACTGGAGTGTCTGTGTGGCAGAACCCGAAATTAGGACTGGAACATTACTGCTAAATATTGATGGATAAGATGAAAGGCATCCACTTTGACACCAGTTAAGAAAACATTATAATCAACTCTTCTGATGATTGGACAAAAAAAAATCACATTCTGCAGATTTCTCCTTTAACCACTTAAGCTTATGTTATGCAATATGAAAAGTGCATTTAAAAATTCCTACAAAGAAATCACATAATGTTCTTTTAATGTACGCTTGATCGTTTGTAGCAAAGGATGCATCGCCAGTTAAAAAATACTTTCAACATTAGCATATGAAAAGCTCAGCCCTTTCTGTTTGGATTATCCAATTAATAACCAAGTAGCAAAAAGTGCTTAATAGGAGATTTTTATTTTATTTATAGAAATTGAACTGGGTGAAGCTAAAACTATACCAATGTGGAAAAGAACATATTTACAGTCAAACTGTTTTTTTTTTATTTTGTTTTGTTTTTCTTTTTATCTTAAATGCCAAAAATTGGATTTTTTGTACAATTTTAACTGAATGTGTTGTTTTTTAATCTCTTTTTAGACTCTATATTTTAAGGTAGCGATGAATCAATTGGTGAATTAACTGTTTCAACAATTAATCATGATTAATCCAATTATTTCAGCCCTAATCATTTGAGCTTATGAACTCTTTATCCTGTCTCATGAAGCAGGTTGTTAAGTTACCAAAGCTATTTTGTGATGGTATATAATTATATTTTAAGCATGTATCATTTTCCTGAAAAGTTTTGACAGATATTGACTCTGGCACTGTAACTCCAGAGAACTAAATCTTGGGCAGGTCAGGGCTGTGCTGTTAAATGTTTCTTTTCATACTGAATGTTGTTCTGCCATCTAAAATGTTGCCAATGCTTCCATTTCTTTCTTTGATGGTGCAAATCTGTCAAGCATCAGGTTCTGGCACACTGCTCTCCTCTCCCTCTGCTGCTTTGCTCCATGTTTTTCCATTTATGTAGATTATTTGTAGAGCAGAATGTTTTTGTTTTTTTCTTAATAGAAAAACATCTTCAGGTTAACCAGAATAATCGGTTTGCATGGATGAATCCCTTACCGTTACTTTAAGTGTAGCTGTATGAACGTTTGAATATCAAACTGGATTTGTATTAGATGTGAGAAAGAGCATGTTTGCTCCACTGTCTTTTCTATAAGTTTTCATCTACTCTCCTTGCATGACTGAAACTAAAATATTAAGCTGCTTGTGTAAAGATTGCATAAGAAGAACATTTAGTGCATCTTAAGATAACCTACAAACATGAAGCACATTTTGTGAAACACAAAGTCCTGTCATGTATATGATGAATGCATGTTCTTCGTGATGTGTCCTGATTGTGTATAAATAGCTGTATTGCAATGAAGGCTGTAAAACTTACAGAATGCAACCCATTGCGGATTAAGTTACTTTTTGTTGTGGCGAATTGAGCTACTTTGTTTATTTTCCATTTTTATTCACCGTCTTGAACTGAAAGTTCATTGTTCTCCACACAGTATGGAAATTCTCCCAATAGTCATAGTAATATTGGGAAAATCAATCAGATAAGTTAAACTCCTCTGCCTACTCCAAGCATTTGGCTTATCAGAGTGAGCGAATCTTCATAAGCGTAGACAGAGCACCTGCATAGTTTAGTTAGATCATTTTTAAGTGGGATTTTTTGTTTTTTGTTTTTTTACATATTCAAAAAACCTTTTACTTTAGCTACACTATCAGATGTGAAGGTGTTTGTGAACCAGTATTTGCTACAAGTATCTTTGTATGCCATGGAAAGGCAAGTCAGATATTCTATAGCAGTGTTTGCACATCCTTAAAAAAACTTAAATTCATTTAAAAAAATGTAAGTTGGCCTTAAATACGCTAATTATGGGTCTTAAATTTTGTTCAGACTTGCTGAAAACGGCAGCAACTCAAAACACTTCTTCATTATTCAGTCATGTATATCTGGAAAGAAGAACATTTAGTGCATTAATTTTGAGGTTAAACAGTGTAAAAAATTAAAAACCAAAAGCAGTTTCCACATGCAGGACTCTTCACTCTTCTTGCTGTTACTTGGTGTTTCCTTATTGACTTTTTCGATTCATTTTTCTGCATGACCTACATAGAGAACACACACCCTGTGTGTCGTCTCCCTTTTCTAACTTTGACCACTGAGCACACGTGTGCGTCTAACACATTATTTTATTAAAGGATAGTCTCAAAATTCAAAAGCTATTTAAATAAAATAATTTTCCTTCGCACTATGGCTAGCAAACTTGAATAAATTTTTTATTGAATCTTTTAAGGACAGCTACATGCATGACCGACACTACCTGCTGGTAATCTGGGGGAGGGAATTCAGTGTCTAAACTGGAATAAAGATTTTCTACAAATTCTTAACCATTTTTACCTGTACAAAAAGAACCTCATTTTTTTTCTTTGAGATTCATTCCCATTGTTTCTGACTTTTTTTTTTTTTTTGATCAACTTGCAGCACTCGCTGACTATCGTTCGACAGTCTGGTGGGCTTGGTATCAGCATTGCTGGGGGAAAAGGATCTACGCCTTACAAGGGAGATGATGAGGTGAAAAACCCACAAGATTGGGATAGCAGAGGTGAAATGCAAGCTGTAGATATTAAATATTCTGTTGGATTGTTTTTTCTTTTTAAGGGAATCTTCATCTCCAGAGTATCTGAGGAAGGTCCTGCAGCAAGAGCAGGAGTGAAAGTGGGAGACAAGCTTCTAGAGGTAAAAATTAGTTTGGCACGAATAGATAAAAAAAAAAGTTTCTGTTGAGGCGTTTCAAAAGTTTTACCCGTTTCTCAGGTGAACGGAGTAGACCTCCATGAAGCGGAGCATCACACTGCAGTCGAGGCTCTCCGCAGCTCCGGGGCAACGGTTTCCATGACGGTACTGCGCGAACGCATGGTGGAGCCCGAGAACGCCATCACCACCACGCCGCTGAGGCCCGAGGATGACTACTTCCCACGGGAGAGGCGGAGCAGCGGCCTCGCCTTCAATCTGGAGAGCAGTCCTAGCGGACCGCGGCAGAGGTTCTCCACCTGCCTGATCCGGAACGACAAAGGCCTCGGGTTCAGCATCGCTGGGGGAAAAGGCTCCACACCGTACCGCACAGGAGACACTGTAAGAAACACCTAAACACACCAGGGCTGGAACAATTAACCAGATTAATTAATTATTGAAACAATTGTCAACCAATTTAGTAATCAACTAATCATTAATTGGTGTATATGAACTCTAAAATATGTCATTTTTAAGCTAAATTCAGCTAAACTTTACTAAAGAAATATATATTTTGTAATTTAGAGAAAAAAATCTTTTTTCTCTAAATCTCTTCAAGTGAAATATTAATTTGTTAATTGAAAAAATAGCTAACGGATCAGCTCTAAACTGTATTGATACTAAATCAAGCAGAAAGGACTTAAGTATCTATTTAGCTGCTATATTGTTTTTACATATTGTTTTACATATTATTAATATTGTGCAAAATAAGCTTAAGTAGTTTCATGAAAAATCTGCAGAATGTGCTTTTTCTAAGCTACGATTAAGTAATAATAATTAGCTACATCCTTGTAATACACTGTCAACACTGAAGAATCATTGTTTATTAAAATCAAACATGACAAATAAAGTGGAAAATGGTTGAAAACTCCCAGTTGCTTTACTTCCAGGTCAGAAACTATACTAAGACACAACCAGTCGTTCCATAACTAAAGAGCGGGAATCGTTTGGGAAGGCGCTCTAACAGGAACTGTCACAGTGAGCGATATCCATCTTCTCTGTGCCTATCATTGCCGCGGTCACAGAGATATGAATAGCCAGCCCTGAAACTCGAGCGGTTCACTGTAATTAGACGTGGTGAGGTCTAGACTCGGACCAGCGTGGCTCTGCAGCTCAGGAAGCACAGAGAGAAAAAGGAAAGGACTCATAAACGTTTGATTGTAGGCAGATTGAACTGTAAGTGTTGGCTGTTTTTCAAAGTTTTGTTTCTTAATGAGTGCTGCGGCGTGTTTTATGGTTGGTTGATCGCTGGTTTTGGTGCAGCAATGTTTGCTCCTGCAGGTGCTTTGGCTAGTAGCTCAAAATGATGTCTGAAGACATGATGAAGGAATGTTTTACTTTCATTAGAGTGCAAAATATTAGGGTTTTCGTCGAGTCATGATTGGATTTTATAAAAAATATTTCAATGTTCCTATTTCAATCAACCAGAAAGTAAGGTAACAGAGTTATTTCAACATTTTAGCCTTTTGCACCAAACATTTTACTTCCAAAGTTCTCCAGTTCTATCGTTAATAAGGCTCAGAAACTAACAGAACATGACTAGTATATTGTTTCAAAGAGGTTCCTGAAACAAATTTTAGCAGAAGTGACAAAAAGAGAAGATTTAAAATTTGTCACTGTCTGTCCGGTTTTCAGGGAATCTACATTTCCAGGATTGCTGAGGGTGGAGCAGCACACAGAGACAGCACACTGCGAGTCGGCGACAGGGTGATCTCTGTGAGTAACATCGCTTTACTGTAAAACATGCTGTTTATTTTGTGCCACAAACGTACAATATCTAGTTCAAAATCTATGTTTTATGGTTAAACCTTAAACTCCAAAAATTAATCTTGGCACCTTTCCTTTACAAGTATATTCAACTAAGATTTATACTTAACTGTAGGGGTGATGACACACTGTGTGTAACTCCATTCTGCTATTCTAAAGCGTAGACAAAATGTTACTCTAGTGATTGGTCAGGTTAGTGAGTGTGTTTCCAAGAGAAAGTAGGTCCTGAGATTTCCAGCGTTTCAAATATAGCATGCTCTCTCATGGAGAGGGAAAGCTTAAATGGATAAAAACTTCACATATGGTGTAGCATTCATGCCAAAAACCCGTATTAACAGAGAGTGCTTGGCTCTGATCACAGGTATTTCCATTTATTTGTGAGCTGGAGGTGGACGAATCGATCCAAAATATCAATATTAATGATGCCAGATGGTATTAATATTACCGTGGTGATAGTTTAGTGTAATTTCTCAGCTCTACTTCACAAAAGATTGTGTTTTGATCTGCTCAAAGCACAATATATAATTATTTCACTTTATTTTGGAAAAATACACAAACGGTTTTCTATTTTCACCATTTATCATGTTAACATGTTATAAAAGTATAAAAACTTTGTTCTGAGTTGGAACATAAATAATTAAATGGTCAGAAGTTTAATGATATCAAACTTTAATAAAAAATATAAGTATTGGCAACACTGGCCTTGTGTTTACCTAGTATTGATTATATACCAATGCAGAATCGCACACGTCTGTTGTGAGCAGTAAAATTCCCTCTTGGTTTTTAGTGAACATGTTTGTCAGTTCGGCTTCTAACTTCTTGAAACAAAAGTTACAAATGTTTTAAATTCTTGTTTCCGTCTATGCTCAGTTTTGAGGTTTTCAGGCCTGAGCTCGGGTCTTGTCACATTAAAGTCTAAATCTTTTGGCCACAGTTAATAATCTGAAAATTTTGTAACAATTATGAAAGCCCAAAGTTTCAGAGCAGCTTCTTGGGAAGAGGCGACTGCAGAAACCATCACATCGATGATTTACACAGCACAGGGTGTCCTGCGTGACTTTTCTTTGAACATTTTGTTTCCTGTAATCAGTTGACATTGTTGTTTCTGCTGCCAATGAATGCAACACTGCTCTTTTCAGAGGTTTTTCCTTCAAGCCTTGGATGTGTTTTGCTTTCTCTCTGGCGGTTTCTCCCCTCTTCCTCCTCTGTTTTTGTCTCTCACCTGTAATCACATGCCGCCCCTCTGCATGCTCACTAACTCTGAGCGAGTCTCCTTACCTGCTTGGTGGTGGGTGTGGTGTTGGGTGGCGTTGCTCTGCTGCTGAGGTAGACGGGTGTCGCGTCATGGCAGCAGCAGAGCGTTTCAGCCCTGCGGTAAGAGCTGTTACTGTCGGGTCAGTGCTGACCTCTGCTGGTCAGGATGGAGCAGTGTGCGGTTTGTAACACCAGGCTGTAAAACATAGGCAGTACCTTTAAAGATGATTCACTCTCTTGGATGGTTTACCTTCTTTATTGCTTTTACAAATCAATTGTGAGAAAAATAACGTGACTTTTTTGACAAAAAACAAACAAGAAAAACTTTAAATGTTGAAGTAAAAACTGGTTTCTGCAAAGTAACTTGCTTATTTATTTCAAACACATTTATAATTTAAATTCCATGATATTTAAATAACTTTGAAAAGGAGATAAGCATAAACTTATTTGATCCTGCTCTCATTCCTTTGTATGTCTTATTTTAATCATTATTCTGTATTTAAAGTAAAACATAAAAACAGAACAAAGTGATAACATACCCAAGACATTTCTTTCAAACAAACATCCCCCAAAAAACAAACACAAAAATTGGATCATTCAGATGTGCAAGCCTGTGTTTGCTCCCAAAAGGTGAATCCATTAAATGCAGATTTTTAAGGGAGTGGATACTTATGCAATCACTTATTTAATGTTGCATATTTTATGACGATAATTGTCATTATTTTGAAGAAATAAAAGGTTTTAGTCCTTTATTTTTTGTCAAAAAAAGCATGATTTTGTTGATAAAAAGTAATAAAAAGGGGGTAAATACTTTTTATAGAGACTGAATGTAGTAGTTTAGTTGCCTTTCTTGACTTAAAAGCTAGGGCTGTGTAATAATATCAATATTGTAATATATATCGATATTTTCTTTCTTAGAAAAAAATTGATATTCATCCGCAAGTATCGTAACATCCAACTGTCACCTTGCTCACTCACTGCTTGCTTCGCCAGGAGAGTGATTAGGTCATTAGGCTTAGTGATTCTTTCAGATGTTAAGTGTCGAGGTTAAAAAGGTATCAAACTATTCAGAGCAGGGTACTTGGTGCACTTTATTTACTTTACAAATGCATGTAAGCTACAGTTTGTACTGTTTCAATTAAAAGAAACATGTTTTCTGATTCATTTTGTCCAGCTGTCGACTTTAAGTCTGTGTCCATGTCCAACCAGAGCCAGGTATTGTGTAGTTGGTGCTTTTAATCAGTTTTCAGTTAAATTAATTCAATCCAACTCTATAACATCACAAAAAGTCACAAAAATCACTCTGTCCCTCTAAAATCTTTCAGAAAATCACAAAAGTGTATTGAATTGTATTGTTTGTTGAATATCGCAATATATATAGTATCGTGGGCAGAATATCGTGTATTGTATCGCGAGATTATTGTATCACTACAGCCCTATTAAAAGCAAACATTTTGGAGAGAACTCTGTCCTCCGCTTGTGCTTTAAGTGAAGAAAGGCAAGAATGAATCTTAAAGTGATCAGAATAAAAGATGACATCATAAACTTTTGAGAAGTTTCTGGATTTTGAAACAAAGTGCCGCTTCTCTGCCAGCAGCATCCCTCTGTTGAATCCCTCTGTTTTCCTGCTGCCCTGTTGGCTTTTCTTCAAATAAATTAGCATGGAGCATTTGCCAGAATTCTACGTTTAAAAGATAAAAGTGTTACAGTGCAAAAGTATTCATACCACTTGAGCATTTTCACATATTGTCACATTAAATGTCAAAAACAAACTCAAAGTAGGACGTAATTGAAGAATCGTGCAATTCTGTTGGATAATTCAGTTGTTTTTTTAAATTCGTCTTTGCAAAAATATTTCAGTCATGACTTTTTTTTCCGGTATCATTTTGTCTTTATTCAGCTAATATTTGATATATTTTCCCTTTGAAGCTTTGAGGGGTTTGAACACTTTTGCAAAGTTTTTACATCCTTGCTTACAATGACAGATGATAACATGCACATGCAATCCAGTGGCAGCCTGATGTTTCCGGTTTGGTTTGTGGTCAATTTTCATCCTGTTGGTCGTAAATGGGGAGAATCCTGGTGGGCTCACACCTCCTCCATGGTTGGTTCCACTGTCGATCCAGATCAATGGTGTAGACATGACAGAGGCCAGGCATGACCAGGCAGTAGCGCTCCTTACCGGCACCTCCCCCACCATCGCGCTGCTGGTGGAGCGAGACCTGAGCGCACCGGGGGGCTCTCCAGGTCAGAACCGGGCGCGGGCCCACTCCCCTCCTCCCCCAGAACCCTCCGCCTCTCCAGACCAAGACGAGGAAGGCCTTCAGGGGAACCACATGGGGAAGCTGGAGGACGAGTATCCCATTGAGGTGAGACGACTCCTTATTCTCATCTTGTTGGTCAAGTTTTTCTAGATGTTTTAGTGAAATGCTGCAGAAACCTCATTGATGCTTCGTTTTCCCCGCTTCATCCCTAATGCCGTTCAGCTGCAGAGAAGATGGTGCATGGTATGAAGGCTGGCTGTGATGAGAGGAGTGTGCTTTATGCTTCTAGCCTGCTGAGATGTTGTGTGTGCAGTGCAAAACAGACTTTAGGTTTATTGATTCTTTTGTCAAATTCACACAACAGGAGGTGACCCTGGTGAAGTCAGGCGGCCCTCTTGGACTGAGCATTGTTGGAGGCAGTGACCATGCCAGCCACCCGTTCGGCATCAATGAACCTGGGGTCTTCATCTCAAAGGTGCTAAAACTTTTTATTTATTTAAAGGGGACATATTGTGCAAAATTCACATTTTATATGTTTTTTTTGTTTGGTTGTTTATTTGTTTTTTACTGTGTCTTAACTGCTTCTAAAAACAGCTCAAGTGTTTAAAAAAAAAAACAAACAAAAAAAAAACATGCAGCCTGTCTTTAGCTATAATATAAATGAGCCATTTCAAAAACCTTACAAATGCCGTGTGCCGTTACCTAGCAACCCCAGCGGAGTCCTTGCACGTTTGGTCAGCTAATTTTACTCCGTACAATGGCTCCTGGAAACGACTAATGTTTTGTAGTTGACTTGCCATCCAGAAACCACTGGCTTCATTTTTGTTGACTGTGCAGGAGGCTCTACTTCTGCTTTTCAAAGATGTACAGGTGTATAATTGCACATTAGTTGGCAGCCGTTTTCACATGTGGGTGTAAGCGTTGAGTCAGGGGGAGCGGTCCTAAAATGGCTCAAAATAGTTAGAACTGAGCAGAATAAAATCTCATTATCTAAGAATGGTTATGGGCAAAATGAAAATGTTTTGCATAGCTAGCCTATCCTAAGCATTTACCTTCAAAATTGTTATATTTTTGTTTGCTTTGTTCCTGCCTAAATAGAATACTATGACAAGACATTAGCAGCAGTAGTAAATGATATATGACAGTGAGTTGAAGCATCTTCTTTAGTTAATTTGTGTTGTTTTTAGTTTGGTGCTGGAAAAGTTAAAAAACTTACCTGGATAATACTTGAAATTTTCTGGTTCTGCTTTCAATCTCTGCTTCTCGCTCCTTCAGGTGATTCCTCACGGTCTGGCGTGTCAAAGCGGCCTGCGAGTCGGCGACCGCATATTAGAGGTGAACTCCATCGACCTGCGGCACGCCACGCACCAGGAAGCCGTGCGGGCCCTGCTGGCCAACAAACAGGAGATCCGCATGTTGGTGCGGAGGGATCCTTCGCCGCCGGGGATGCAGGAGGTTCTGATCCAAAAGCAGCCCGGCGAGAAGCTCGGGATTAGCATCCGCGGAGGAGCGAAAGGTCACGCTGGAAACCCCTTCGACCCCACAGATGAGGGCATCTTTATATCCAAGGTAACAAAACGGATTTATCCACGTCCATTTTTGGTTTTTGAAGGTTTTATTTTTTCCAATAAACATTCATTGAGTTTCCACAGCACACACAAGGCCGCCATCTTGTTTCACAGCTTCTGTTTATTTGCAACAGATCGGTCATCTCTACAGTGGAATATTAAGGCCAGACTCTAATTTTTAAAAAATTACAATAATAGTCATATTACAAGAATACAGTCGCATGACAATAGCATCAAAATAACACGGGAATAAAGTTGTAATATTACCAGAAAAAGTTTAAATAGTGCCAGCATACGCTCATCATTTTATGAGAACTCCACATAAAATATAAAAAAATGTAAATGTGCAATGTTGTGCATTTTGTGATGAAAATACTTAATAAAAATACTTAACTTTTTAAGACATCAGCATCAAGTCTTCATCATTAGTGAGCAAACAACTGAGCTGGTCACGTCAGATTTTCTCTTTATTTCTCTGAATTCCTGACAAAATTCTCTAAATTTACCAGGAAATTTAGAGAAATTCCTGGTAAATTCTTTAAATTTACAAAGAAATTTGTTTTTTCTGGTAAAATTGCGGGGGGTTTTCTAATAAATCTTTTCTCATGCTTTAAAAAGTTATCGTACCTGGCTGTAATTCTGTGTCATACAACTCAGAGCAGAGAATTTATGGTTGAAATAAAAGCCCTATTTTGGAAATATTTTCTGTCATATGTTCTTTCTTTTATTTTATGTTTTTTTTTTAAGAAAGCATTAAATTTCGTTTAAAAAAATCTGATTTTATTCTTAAGCCACATCACCCAGTTCTGCCAGCCAGTTTGGAAACGTAACGCTCGTTTTGTCTTCAGGTGAGTTCGACCGGCGCCGCAGCCAGAGACGGACGGCTGCAGGTTGGCATGCGCATCCTGGAGGTGAACAACCACAGCCTGCTGGGAATGACCCACACAGAGGCGGTCAGAGTGCTCCGCGCGGTCGGGGACTCCCTGGTTATGCTGGTGTGCGACGGCTTCGACCCGCGGAAAGTCGCAGCTGGTGAGGTGAGTTCTCAGGAAACACTTTGGTCAAGGAAAAGCTGCATCTGAAATGACTGGGAGTGTTTTTGGTGTCGATTTAAAACTTTTTACCACCAAACCAAAATCTGCACATATTTTCTGGCTGTTCTCAAATGTTTGAAAATTTTGACCTACCGATACCAGTTTCTGCTGATTAGGATTTCTCTTCAAGAACTTTGAATAAATAAAAAATATGTATTAAAGTTGAACAATTAAACCATCTTCCTAATAAAATATTTAACTTAAAATATATATTTTTTTGTCTCCCACCACATGCATTTGGACGAAGGGGCATCCTAGCACAGAAAGGGTTTTTTCTGCAAGTTTTTTGAACAGTTTAGTTCCTTTGACACATTGCAGTGTAAAGCAAACTACACCAGATGAAAATGTAACGAATGGTCCAATCAAACCGAGTCTACCGGATTATCAGATGTGAAATGTGTATGTGTGCATCAGTCTGGAGGAACAGCTGACATTATTACTTTCTAAAAGCCTCTGGCACATTTTGAGCTCCATTTTTACGATTTCACCGATTCTGAAACTAGCCGACTTTTTGTCCTTGTATGATGTCCATGCTTCTGGATTCCTGAAAATATGTAACAATTCAAAATACTCAATTACACATCTATGCGACTTTTTATTCCAGGCGTCTCCTGGGATCATTGCCAACCCGTTTGCAACCGGCATCGTACGCAAGAACAGCATGGAGAGCATCTCCTCCATAGACCGAGACCTGAGCCCAGAGGAGATGGAGATCATACAGAAGGTACGATGCGCTGAAAGAGTCCACCACGTAGCAACCAGTCAGTATCACCCCAGACCAGCGCCGCTGTTTTCCAGTCAGCCCATGCATCAAATGTTTTGTGCAGCGATTCTGCTGCAGCAGCAGTTTGGTGTCAGCAGGTGGAATTTGACCAGCTATAGTTCCCCTCTCTCCGCTTGCGAACACACTCGCGCTGCCACAATGCGGCGGCAGAGTTGTTTATTTTGCCAAGTTTAGGTAAACATGTCCTGTTTCTGCTGAGGTCTGCTGCATGAAAACCTGCGAACTGAAGTTGAAATTTCATATTTTCTGGCAGGAGTCTGAGATGGTCAGGGAGACGTCGCAGTGGGAGCGAGAGGAGATGGAGAAAGTGGTGAGTGAAACATTTTGAGGGATGAGAAAGATACAAATATATGAATCGGAATAAGTTTCCTTAGCTGAGAAACTGGATGAATGAAGCTTCCTGTCTGTGGGTTTTGTTGGAGAGTTTGTTCCTGCAATGTTTCACCTTGCATGCTTTTTCTGCTCCCATAGAAACGTGAATAGTGTACTTTGTAATCTGTGTGATTTCTACCCTGCTGTTTTTCTCTCTCACCTGTCCTTCTGGTGTGTTTGGTGCGGCACATAATCATCCAATCATCCCACCTCCTTCCTTTCTGTTTCCCCCCATCCCTCGTCTATAACAACACTTCTCTCCTCTTTAAACAATCTCTGTCTTCATCACATCACTCTGTGTGTGGCTGGGTGTCTTCCTCTCTGCACTCTGCTCCTCCTCTTCCTCTCATGGTGAAGGAGCGTATGCGTTTGGAGCGTGAGGAGGCAACTCGCCTGCTAGAAGAGGAGACGGAGGTGAGACCCTGCTCAGACAAACCCGCCGTCTGAACGCAACATTAGTCCAAGTGGGGCTGCAGATATTGCTGCTTTACGCTCAGTTGACTTATCTTGTTTGTAGTTTTTTTTTTTGTTTCTTGCAGAACTTTTCTGTTGGGCAAAAGTTTGACATCTTTTATTGCGTTCTGTGACTCAAAACAGTCGGTAATCAGCTGCTAATATACCCTTGCTAGCTGCCCAGCTTAGCCTTGTTTGCGTCTCTCATGGATAAAATGTATTGATTGTTGGCTGGACGACGTTTGTTTTTGTCACTAATTCACTTCTTATGTGCCAGCAGGATCCCCCAATATTTATATTTTTGTTGTTTTAAATTTCATTCAATCTGGCATTAAAAGGTCTTAAAAAGTGTTAAGTTTGAATTACTGAAACCTGTGTGTAGACTGGTTTTGTTCTAAATACATTATTGCTTTATTTCTCCTCAGAACCTTGGCACTGGACCTTTAAAACTTGACTACAAAACCCTGGCTGCTCTCCCCACCACCAGCCTCCAGAAAGTGAACCGGGTGAGTCCACTTTTCTTTATTTTTCTTTTACCTTATCTTCAGGTTTCGCCTCAAACTAACAGAATTCACCCAGGATGGATTTAACTTTTTGACGTGTTTGAGAACGGGGTCGTTGCCTTTGGGGATTCTCTGGCTGCGTGTGGTCAGAGGCTCAGAATAGGCTCTCTTGGTTATATGTCATGTTTGACCCGGAGCTGGACCTTTTTAAAGGAGAACCGAAACCCCTCCCAGGGTTGCTGGATGAAGAACCTTGTCGTGATTTAACTAAACCATGAAGAAGTAAAGAAGAAAAGCCCATAATAAACGACTGAGGGTCTACAACATGAACGTTTTGCGTCAGAATAAACCGTGACAGAGAGTGGGCGAGTTGGGGGAAGGGAACAGCTGCCCTCTGTCACCCGGCCTGCTCTCTGCGATATTTTAAACGTGCATCTGGTTCTGAGTTGGACAGAGCGTGTCCGGTGGGTGGGGACGGCGTGTCTGAGAGGAACAGACGAGCGTCTCGGTTTGAGCTCTGAAAGTCCTGCTTGGGACGGCTAGTGTGGACGTCCGGCTCTGTCCTTTTATCGTCCTGCTGTGAGTTTCGTCTTCCAGCTTTACTCTTCTTCTCTCTACTACTATCAAACTCCTGATTTTTATTAAATATAGACTCTTCATTTTAAATTTGATGTCAACATTCCTAAAAATGAGATGATTTCTTAGCAGTTTTCTCTTTAAAGATGTTAAATCATGTCGTCTTTGACGTTGTAACTAGACTTAATTATAGATCTCTGTTCTGAGAGAGCAGCAGCACTTAACCTACATACCCTGAGCAGCTGTTGGTGAGATCTGAAGCGCTCCCACATGGTGGTTCAAACCAAATGCAGCAGCTCCTAATCAAACTGGAGTTTTAATACAGTTTTTAAAAAAGTAGGACTGGTTTAAGACTTGTAGGTTAAATGTTGGCGGAAAAATATGTTTAATTTTGCTAAAGGCCTGAGAATGAGCCTAGTTATGTTGGTCCTGATTTCTTTTTAAGTTGGACAAAACAAACCAACTAGACCCTTTTACACATTTTTAATTAATGCCACCTTGGATATTAGCTTATTTCTCTGAAGTATTTAAGGGGAAGACAAGCAGATGTTGCTTATAAAGTTATTGTGATAAAATATAATATTGTTGTTTTTAGGTCATTTTCAACTAATATGTTAAAAGACGTAATAGTGCCAGTACATTCTCTCAAAGATCAATAAACTTTCATTTAGAAAGAACATTTAACACTGGAACTGGAATATATTTTAAATATTCTAAATAAATTAGACAGAAATGGCTTACGAAGTCTCTGTAAACAAAATAGAAAAAAGTTAGGACTTTTGTAAAACAAAAAAGTGCAAATTAGCTACAAAATGGCGACTTTTCAGTTATATTAAAGAGCAACGTCTCTTTAAAAATTAATCAAACTATATGCTGTGATTTTAATTTATCTTGCGCTTAATTATTTTATTGCTTACTGTGACTGGCTTAAAGACAAGTTATTATAAAATTGCTCACATTTCACATTTAATTTATTTGTATTGTAATATATTTCCACTGATTGTGAACCTGTTAACTCTTATGAAAAATTCAAACCCAAAGTGCTGATGATACTGACCTCATACTGAGTTGTATCAGGGGAATCTAAAACCGCTAAGTACACCTGTCCTGTTGACACCTAATTGTTCCGCTTCTCTTTAAGGAAATTTCATATTTAACCCCTAAAAGCTCAACGAGCCGTTGAGCCGGCACACAGCTGTGAACCTCTCAGCGCGTTGGCATGTTGGCGAGCCAGCAGGGTGACTTCTCCACTCTAAAAGCCAGCTGTCGCTCGCAGACGTCTGTGTCGGTGTCAAAAGGTCACGATTCACATTCCGTCCCTCTAACCCTCACGCCGACTGCGGCCCGAGAGCCAAATCGCCGCTTTTCAATAGTCAAACTATTGAGACCGATTGATCATTGGTCTCAGCTGTGTCGGCTGTTTCATGTTAAGCATCCTTCACCCTCCTGGTTAAACTGATGAAGTATTTTTAAAGCAGAGGCTGAAAGTCTGCAGTAATGTGGAGGTTAGGACGCTTTACTAGTTTAGAAACTTACCTTCAATGCTTCAGAGGAGTTTTAGTGATGCAAGTGACTCTTTTTAGCAGCAGGAGGCGTCTGTGTTAACTTTCTATTCATAGAGTCGCGGACGTTCCTTCTTATCTTCCTTTGGTTTATGCAGGGTGGCTGTGCATCCTTAAAAAGCCTTAAATTAAAATTAAGACCTTAAAATGTCTTAAATTTGTTTAAAAATGTAGATTGACCATAAATACACTCATCATAGGTCTTAAATTTTGTTGTGGCAGGATTACACTGTAAAAACCCCAAATCTTATGTTTGCTCTTTGACAAAACTAACTTACAAGTAATGTTTCAGCATGTTTAGCATCATGTTTTAGGTCAATAATTTCTTAATATTAATTTTAAAAAGTGTTAGTTCCACTGATGGATTATTTTACTTGGAAAAATGTCTCAAGTTAAATAATCTTAGTGTAACAAGTACTTTTTTAATCAATATTAAATAATTATTTACTCAAAACAAGCTCCTATATTTTGCTGAAAAGTTACTTGTAAACTAGTTTTGATTTTTGATATTTGCTCTAAAAACTAGACAAAAAAACATTTAGTAAGTTTTGCAGTGTATTCAATCTTGCATGTAGTTTTTTTTATTCTTTCTGAAATTTTCTGGCAGGCAAACATTTGTCACATTTGTTACATTCTGTGACTTGGCGCAGTCGGTAACTAGCTGCTACTTTACCCTTACTAGCTAGCTAGCTTTTTTGCGCAAGTGCAAATGTGTCACTTGTGTTCAATTTTTTTTTTGCCACCAGCTCACTTTTATTCCCAACCCACATGAGACAGCAGGATCCTTCAATCATCTTCTATATTAGTAGTTTTTTCTGTCTTAAATTTCATTCAAACTAGCATTAAAATGGTCTTAAAAAGCCTTAAATTTAACTTGCTGAAAGTTTTAGATGTCCTGTTAAGGGATTAAACTGAAAATGCTGATTATAACTAGTGGTTCTCTCTAAAACTGCTCTACAATAAAACTTTAAACTTATGCCGATTTATTTCCTTTATGGAGACATGAATCACTTTCACCTTCCTGACTTAGCAGTGGGAAGCCACTGAACACCATTTTCCTGTTTTCTCTTTATCTCCTTTGTGTGAGTTTGAACATCAGCGAGTCGAGATCGTCCTGTGAGTCCTCCTTATCTTTTGCTCCTGTTCAGTTCTCTGCCTCTGTTACTCTGACTGCCCCCATGGAGGCCCCCCTGCCAGCCAATCACGGAGCCCCTATAGAGCCCTTCGGGTCGGGCAAACCCGCCGAACCCCTCACTGATTATCTCCACCAATCCCAGTTGTCCCACAACGGGACGTCCAGCATCCCTGACAGTCCAGCCGTTGACTCGACAGTTTCTCCTGAGGAGGAAGAGGAGTGCCTGGTGGACTCGCAGCCCATGTGCTTTAGTGAGAACCCCTTCCTGGTGGCTAACCGTAGAGGGAGAGGCCTTCCACCCGGAGAGCGGATCCTGTCGGGGCCTCCGGTGGGCTACGGCCGGCAGGGGAAGCTGCAGCCCTGGTTGTTCAGCAAGGCAAGATGGCCGAGTGTAGCTTGGAGGCGGCATGCTGCGTTGCTGTGAGCTTTGTTGCTTCATCCATTTGGATCCCAGTTCCAAATATTACAGTTAAAAAAAAGGGTTTATTTGCAGCTGTGAAGCTGGTTGCAAACCAAAACGCAGGCTTATGTTGATTTTCTTTCCCTCTACGATGTGTTTGGCTAACTGTGTGTGTGTTAACCTCTGCTCAACAATAGGAGGAGTTTATTGCACGCTTTTGCTGTGAGTAAAGCTTGTGGCATCTAGGGGTGGGCAATATGGACTTAAAATTTTATCACAATATCTTGTGGTGCTATTACGATAATAACTATTTAAAACTATTTTTTAGGAGCTCAGCAATCAAAGCCCACAAACTGAAAAATAATTAATTTCTAATATGCTTATTTGGAACACTTTTTATCTCCAGACTGCACAGAGTAACTGCATTTAATCATATTTTTATATGTATTAATATTAATTGACACTTTCATTGAGCAAACAGTGAAGAAAATATTAAAAATAGGAATTTGGGAGCGGTTTAAACATCATAAATTAAGAAATTTATCACAATAAATGATAAACAATACAATAAATGCCCACCCCTTGTTGCATATCTTTAATTATTCAGGTTCTTTAATTGCACAGATCGATGGAAAAACCTGACCTGACTGCTATAAGGAAGGTCAGGATGTAGAAAGGAGAATGTTTTATGCGTGAAATAAATGCAATATTACTAACCTGAACGCTTTACAGGTGCATCTCAATAAATTATATCATGAAATAGTTTATTTCAAGTCAAAATGTAAAGCAGCCTTAAAACGAATTCTGTTTCTGGAAAACTTGAATATTAAGACGAATAAAGAGCAAAGAAATCTGACATTTTTTCCAGCTGATATTTACCAACAACTTCTACAAGGAGGCTAGTAGTTTAGTGATCTATCAAAACATATTGGAAAGTTGAGTGGAAGAAAAAAGTGTGTCTTGAGAGAAACGTCAAGCAAAACCCATTCATGAATTTGTGGAGCTTTATGAGGAGTTTGAGTAAGCCCACATTTTTTATATGTTTTTTTTTGTCTAAGAAACTACTTTTGGGTTCAAACAAAATTAAGTAATTCCTTCAGCGAAGTTAAATTAACTAGCGTCTAGATAATATTTTAATTTATTCAGATGGACCTGTGGTTGTATTCTTATCTGGGTTGTATTTCTGGTTTATTAGATGAAACTTTGAGCTGATTATTTAGTTGCGTCTCATTTTTTTTCCCAGGCATCTTCGTCTGATTACAGCAGAACGGACAGCCCAGTCAGGGAAGCACCATATTCTCCCACTATCCAACCGGTGAGCCGCCCAACACTTTACCTTCCTCCAGTATCCACCACCCTCCATCACATCATCCTTTAATTCATGTCATCACTGTTCAAGAGTGGCTTCAGTGGAGGCGTTTTAGCGCTGACAGTTTTGACCTTCCTTCCCACCCGTAGCCCAGCCTCCACTCCTCCAGCAGCTCCTTGTGTGCAGGCAGGGAAACCCGCTTTGTAAGTGGGCAGATCTGGAAGCGTTTAGCTGCCTCGGCCCTTCCTGCCTGAAAAGCATGTGGGCACTTCTCTGTGGCCAACTCATCCCTGATGCTTTGCCTTGTGCAGACTAGATATGCGTTACTCTGAGAGGGTTTGCTGACCAGCTTTGGCTTTATATTTTCCCCGTGGATGATAAGTTTCTAAAAGATCAAAGTCTACATAACCACATTTAAAAACTGGTTGTGTTTGATTTCTTTGCATAACCCTGAAGAAGCTTCATTAGTTAGTTAGCTTAAATTGAACTAGGTGCTGCTGGGTCATACATCATAGATTTTAATTTTGTTTAAATTTATTTCTCTTCCTCCACAGGCAAACATTCATCTCACTGCCACTCTCACTGCTAAGGACAGCACTTCATCATCATCAGTGAGTGTCAGTAGAGCTTAGGAGAATCTAAGAGTCTGAATACTTAATCTGTCAAAAACAAGAGTAAGAACATCAATGAAATGCAACTATGGGTTTTAACGAATTACCCAATGAGTTATTGGGAGCTTAGAACCCTAAAGACAGCAAATAAACAGTAAACAAGGAGTATTTGACCAACAAACATAATTTAAATCTTTCATCGTGAAAAAATTTCTATTAAATTCAACTGAAAAAACTTAGAGGTTTAAAATGTTAAAACCAAATGAATAAAATGCAGTGACCACACGCGACTACTTAAGACTCCCTTAAAATGTATTATATATGCCTATTTTTAATACTTAAACACCTAATATAAGCTGGAAATATTTTTTTATTGTCCCAATTTGGGGAAATTAAGGCATAAAAGCAGCAACTTTAGGTAAGTTGGATCATGCATATTCACACGAAGGTAAAAGACATTATAAAATAAGAATGAAAACAAAGTTTCAACATCAGAAAAATCATACTGTTCAATTATTAAACAGAGAATATTAACCCTCCCAGTTCGGTTTGCAGTACCGTAATTCCACCACACTTGGCGCTATCTGACAAATTCCAACGTTTCTGAAAGGGGAGACATTGCTCTTTCCAGCCGATTTCAGGTTATTACGGTAATTTCACCCCGTCGAAGCAAGGAGTGAAATTAATTTGAGGGGCGTTCTTTTAGTAGAAAATAATTTGCTAGATATTGAAAGTTCCAGTTGTTATGGATAAATGGCCAAATATCTTTACTCACAGGACATTTAAAGAACTGCATGCAATTAAAATAAGCAAAAATATCCAGGCTGAGATTTGAAACTTAACTATAAAGGGTTAAGATTAAAATAAATAAATGTGCAGCTGAGTTGGTAAATTAAAGGGGGGAAAGCACAAGATATTTATTTATTTTTATGCATAAAAATAAGACATTAAGTAATAATCTCATTGGCTCCAGGGCTTATTAAAGGAGTAAAAGTTAAATATGTTATTAAAACTCATATTCATTCAGCCATCAGCATCCATTCATGTTGCGTTACCATTCACTCAAAGTTTTATCCGCTCTGGTGTTTAGCAGTGAAGCTACATCATGTTGTCTTTCCCCAGACGCGGCCTGGAGCCATCCAGCCAGTCGGACGCGCGTGGCCCACCGCCTCCCCCGGCACGCCGGAGGGCCGCAGCCCTAACCCCTTTCAGCATGGCCCCTCCCCGTTCAACTCCTCTGTAAGACCCCTCACCTCCACCTCCACGTAGGGCTGGTTTTAACCCTTCCTGTGCCGCCGCACGCCCTGACGTAACCCGACCGTAGTGCGGCGGGTTACCGATGTCTAAAGCGCACGATTGATTGTTACCAAAGACAGGCGGAGCTGTTATAGTTCATGTCCGTTTGCTCTGGGCTCCGGAACGAGATTTAGCTGCTGAAGGTTTCGGCCTTCAGAAACAATCCAGGCAGAGTAATCAGAGAGAGGCTGAGATCCGATCTCAAACCTGCCGGGTTGTTTCATAAAGATGCCCAGACAGAACAGCCTGCTTCACCTGCCCAAGCCCTACTGTCCGTCTTTCTCTGCATCGCTCCTCCTCTTCCACATGAAACCAGCCGCCATGCTGCTCACCCCGTCTCCTCCACAGTCGTCTTGAACTTTGCTGGTTTTTTTCATTGTCTGCCCTCTCCATGTCTCTGTTTGTCCTCTCCACCTCTTTTATCATTTGGATCCAACCTCCATAACCCACCCCACCCCGACCCCCGCTCCCGCCCCTGCAGCCTCGCGCCCCCTCCCCCTCTTCGCCCGACGAGTTCCCAATGAATGTCAAGCAGGCATACAAGGCGTTCGCCGCCGTGCCTCGCTCGCTGGCAGTGCTGGAGCCGCCGCAGGTAGGACGTGCCGACCGGGCTCGGACGAGCATGCTGTGCTGACTGGTTCGCTTGCCGCCCCCTCCCCTCCTCACCTGACTGAAGCAGGCGGCCCTAAAGGAAGCCTGCATGTTGTCATCTGTGACGTGCTGTGACATGTGGGATGTCTCCATCGTTGGTTTTTGTGCTCTACTGACTTCATCTGTGAAACTGGTGCTGATCTTCCTCTTGATCCGTTCATCCAGGGTGTCCTTAAAAAGCATTAAATTCACCAAAATTAAGGCCTTCATTTTAAAAAATTTGAGTTGGCCTTTAAAGTTGCAGTTACAAAAATGTGTTTTCCATATTTATTAAAATTGCCACCATGTTGTTACAGCATGGGATGAGGCGGATAATCGGTGAGAAAATCAATATCCTTATAGTGCTGCTATTGTGTTTTCCAAAAATGCACAACTCCCGGTCAAAAACAACCAATCAGAGCCAGGAGGAGGGTCTTGGCGCTGTCAATCAACAACTGGAAAAACAACTTACTGTTACAGGAAAACCGCTTGTCCACCATCACTGGTGGCCATGCTAACTAGCCTTAGCATTCGTGCTAAAACCTCCTACTGGCTCTGATTGGTTGTTTCTGACTGAGTGTACTTTTGCACTTTATACTGGGAGAAGGCAAAGGAGCTAAAAAATGTTTGCAGATTACCTGTCTCAAAAGTATTTTTTTGTACAAGTTAAATACTGCACCTTTGATACGTTAATCACAGGTCTTAGATTTTGTAGTGGGAGGATTACTTAATCTTGTGCATTCTATGTAGATTGTTTTTCTAGCCAGTTTGCTGGACGTTTGTCTTTGCTGTTGGCTCACTTCTGCTGCCAATCCGTACGATACTACATGCATTTTGTGCTAAGAAAAGCCCCTACTGATATAAAAAAAATATGCGAATTCGTTTGTACATTTCTATTATGAGTCAGGTCTTAAATTTCATTCATAAGTCTTTAAAAGAAGTCCTAAAAAAAGTCAAAAAGTCTTAAAATTGAATTGGTGAAACCTGCAGAAACCCTGTCATCTGTTCATGTGTGGCTCATTCACCAAGGTTTAATCTAGTTTTAATTTTTTTCCCCTGCCTGCTTAGTGTCTCCGTCTTTCTCCTGACTCTCCTCTCTGTTAATAATCTTTTTTTTTTTCTCTGCCAACAGGATCTGTACGGTGTGAGGAACAATTTTCACCCAAAGCAACCTTCACCAGAGGTCAGTAAAGAGATCAGAAAAAAGGTGCAATCTAAAATGTGACACCAAACTCGTTGTTCAATTTAATTCAATTTATTTATATGCAGTTTAGCATCAGATCACAACATTTCAAGGTACTTTACAAAAAGAAAGTAATTTAAACCCAATCATAAATGCATTTCAATTGATCCTCATTATCAAACAGCGTCAAGTTCAGTTTATTTTTCAAATTAGCTTAAAAAGGAAATACAGCAGATTGCATCAAGTCATTAGCTGCCATAAAATAGCGCAAATTGAATGACAAAAATAAATTTGCTTAATGCAAACACAGCAATTTTGTTTTTGATAAGAAGTTTTTGCGCTTTTTTTTGGGTTGTATCAAAATGGATGTATTTCACAAAACTTAAGCAAGTCACATGATCAACAGCCAGACGTTGCTACTGGCGAAAACAGTGAAAAAGACAACAGGAAGTGGTTGAAGGATGATGGTTTGTTTTTGTTTTTTTGGGACATTATGTAGCTGGCCCCACCAGAGCCAACACACCATCGTACAGCTCATAAAAAGTTGTGTTGAATACAAATAACAGATTTAGTTATGTTTATTTGGATTCCGTTTTATGGGAGGATTAATAAAAAGTGAAACAGTTGAAGAAGTTCGGCTCTCTATAACTTGGTCTGCAGTCCAACTAACGAGGTCAAACCTCATTCATGCAAAGTTTTGTTTTACATCTTCAAATGGGAACGTTTGCATTCAGATCTGCTCTGACAGTCGGGATTTATCTGGCCTTTTCAGCCTGTGCTGAACGACGAGGTGTTTGATGATAGAAGTGAAGGTCAGGAGGGAGGCGGTGAGGGTCTGACCAGCAGGGTCTCCCCGCGGCCCTCCCTCTCCTCCGATCGACGGGACTATATGAGCCTGGCCGCCGTGCCGCGCTTCTCTAGAACCTCCATGGAGCAGCAGGTATCCTCCGCCTCCGCGGCCGGAGCGACCCGACCGTTGTCTGGGGTGCTTGGCTTTGACCGGTGGCGGTTTCTGCTGTCCGCGACTGGCTTGACTTATAGCGGGTCTGAAATCAACTTAATGGTGTTGGGTTTTATTTAACTTCTTTCCTCTTGACTTTCCTCTTGGTTATGATGAATCGATTACTGAAATAATCTTTAACTGAAATATACAGACGTAAAAAAAAAAAAAACAAGGCAATTTGCTGGAAGAACAACACACAAGCAGCAATTGAGCCAAAACTGTACAAAAATATATGTATATTTTGCATTTAAGATGCATGTTCGACCCAAAAGTCTGCAAAGTTTTAGCTTCACCTGGTTTAAATTCTGTAAAATAAAAAATATATATATTTTAAAGCACCTTCTGTTGTCCAGTTGTTAATCTGTCAATCTGGAAATAAACATCAGATTAAACCTAAGCTGAGTTAAGTCAAACAGAAAGAAGGTTAGACGTATTTATTGCTGTAAATGATCGTGTAAAGAAGTGTTTATTTTCTTATTTAGAAACAATTATTTGTTTACAGGTGTCTTTTAATAGATTTCTATTGTAGTATGCAAAAGTTTTTTTAGGAAAATCTTTGAATACAACAATTTTTTCATCTGATTAATCATCAGAGTAATTGCTTATGAGCTGCAGCCCCACTTCCATCTTTTGGCAACAAATATATCGACACAACTTTAATTCCTGCCGTTTGTCGTCTCGTCCTTTTTTTTTTTTTTTTTTTTTTTTCCGTCAGAGCCCGTCTCTTGGAGGTAAGAACAGCCCGGAGCAGCGCTCCTTCAGGGACAGGCAGAAATACTTTGAGATTGACGTGAAGCAGCAGACGCCAGAGAAACCCAAACCCAGAGTCTCCCTCGTCGGAGAGGACGACCTCAAGAAAATGAGGGAGGAGGAAGGTTCGTTTCCAGCCTCCCAGAACCGATAAAAACAAAAAGCTGGAGATGTTTTTCCTGGAGTTTACCCGTCTCCGTCTCTTTGTTTCATCCCAGAGAGGAAGTTTGAGCAGCGAGCGCGAGAGTACCTGATGGACGAAGAGGATGAGGATGAGGAAGAAGACCTGGCTAAGCAGGTGGAGCACATGAAGGCTACAGGAAAGGTTTTGTTAGACGGGGTTGAGTACAAGGTGGAGCCCGTTTCTACCCCGTCTCAGCACTGCTCCACTCCACTGAGCTTCACCGGCAGCTCCGGGTGAGAATCTGACATCATTTGAGTTTCAATCTTTTCCATTTTGACTATTTTTTTTCAAATTGGCTTCTGATTTATTTGTTTTTTCCTCTGCAGGCCTTCTTCAGTAGATGGGAAGGGCGACTCTCAGAGAAATTCACTGGAGGACAGCTTCAGGTTGGAGCAGAGACCAAACTCCATGACGGGGTGATTACAGTTTTTAAAAGTCATTTCTGAATGTCTGCATGTGTTAGCCACCTTACAAAATAAAATAAATACAAATCAGTATTTTTCTGTATAAAATTTGAATATAAAACTTTAACAAAAACTGCAGGTGTGTCATTCAGTGAATTTACTCACAGTGAATGGAGCATCCAGACATTTTATTCAAGTAAGAGTAGCAGTACTTCATAATTAAGTTACTCAAGTCAAAGTAAAAAGTACTGCATTGTAAAAATCCTCCTAAAAACTTATTAAAGTAAAAGTAACCAGTTGCTTCCCAGCTCTGACCTCTGCCGATTCTCCGTCTCATCAGTCTGGTGTCGTCTTACCCTGGAGAGTCGGCGGCTCCCATCCGCACGGCCAAGGCGGAGCGCAGACATCAGGAGAGGCTCCGCATGCAGAGCCCTGAGCTCTCCGTGGCCCCGGACAAGGATCTGTCCCCTGCAGAGAAACGAGCGCTGGAAGCCGAGAAGAGAGCCATGTGGCGGGCGGCACGGTAAGCAAAAGCACAAATATGATCACTTAAAACTGACGTAGCAACAATTAGACATGAATAAACAGAATTATTGCGTCAATTCACGTTTGAGTTCATAGAATATATGCAACGTGAAAGACTAAACCAGGGGTCTTTACCTATGTCAGAGGTTTTTATGGAGTTAATTGCATAAAATTTCCTCAACACAATTACCAAAAAGCAGAAGCAATAATTTGCTTTTTTATCCCATTGAAGAAAATGTATCCATCTTATTTGTTTTAAATATATTTTTCTTATTGGTTTGGAAAATATATAGTTTTTTTTTTTCTTATAATTTTCCACAAATATCATCTCATTGGAAAAAAAATGTCTTTTTTTTTTTTTTCAAAAGTTTTAGGTTTTTTTTTTAAAACTATAGAAAAAAAATTGTTTTTTTAATTATCAAAAAAAAATCCTTTGGTAAATATTCATAAAAAACATGTTACTCTAAACTGTTTTTTCTTAAAGTGTGATTTACTAAACGGCACACAGTCTCTGCATTGAAAAGTGGAGAAAATAGCAGAAATATTTCCAGTCATACTGTCAGTTTTGTCTTTTTATTTGCCGTCTGTAACTTAAATTTATCATAACAGTAAGTTATTTTTCTCAGAAGAAATTGTTCTCGATAAATCGACTTTGTCTTTAAGAGCGACACTGCTGAGTATTTGTTTGGTCTGTTTCCTTCTCCCTAATGTCACGTCTAATACGTTTTTATTATTCCTGGTTTTCCTAATTTTCAGTGTTTTATCTTCCATTCTTGGGTTTTCTTCTCTTTTTTCTGTCTGTGTCCCTTCCTGTCTCCTCCTCATCCTTCTCCTTCATCCTGAAATTCCTTTCCTTTCCCTCCCGGTCCCTCTGTCGCCTCCCGTCTGTGTGGCCTGCGGGGCTCAGGCCCTATGGCCTAGAGGAGGATGTTAGACAGTATGAGCAGGACCTGGCAAAGAGGCTCTACCAGGCCCGAGTGAGGGCCTCTCAGGGCGCAGCCCCCCATGCTTCCTCCTCTACCTCCTCCTCTGCAGCCTCCCAGCTCAGGTCTGCTCCTCGGCTCCGGCCGCTAGGGCCAGACACGCGGCATCATGGGGGTGTGCTGGGGTGCTTTGGTTTTCCCGTATTTTGCTATAGAGGCCAGATCCAGAAAGGTCCAAGCAGCAACACTGACAGTGCTTCTGTTGCCTTTCTACTTCTGTTTTTTTTATTTGCTTCTGCACGTCTTTTGTGTTTTGTCTCTAGTTCGGTTTACCCCAACCTCTCTCTCCTCTGTCTTGTCCTTCCCGTTACCCCCGTAGAGCTCTTCTTTTCTTTGTGCCTTGCCATTCTAGCGGTATGTGTATTAACAATAAGTTTGCAAGCTGATGAGGGTAAACCTACAGGCAGTAGGTCGTCCTTTTCCTGGAATGCCTTCCTTTATTTCTTTCATAAAATAAGACAATCACAGCAAACCAGGACAAGGAGCACCCGACATTAGTAGTGAATGGCCTACAACCTCCTCTGGAGTTTCTTGTCCTTGTTTCACGCCTCCGCCTCGGTGTCAGAGGACTTCCTTGAACCTGGTTGTTTCCTGTGTAGAATGAAGTCTCTGGAACAAGACGCACTGAAAGCTCAGATGGTCATCGCCAAAACTCGAGACGGGAAGAAGCGTGGGACACTAGACCAGCTGACGGAGTCCCCGTCGCCGGCTCCAACGCCGTCTCCCACTCCCATGGAAGGTGAGACTTAAATCCCAGATTTCAGTCTAATATCAATCAATTTTATTTAAATTTTTTGTTTGCTTTTGTTTCTGAAGAAGAAATTATGGAAAATATTTTGAAAAAGTGGCTTTTCTTTTAGTCATCCCTTCTCTGAGTTGTATGACGGAGAATTAGGGCAACAAGAATTTTTAATTACTTGCATTACCACTTCACTGAACCCCATTGAAAACCTCCTGGTTATTCCACCAAACTCTTCCCGAGTTAAAACATTAGTATTGTTGTTTCTACATGAACATAAACTTGTTTTCTGTATCTTTTTTGTGAATTTGACCATTTCTCATTTTCTCTGAATAAATACTAAATTTTTCCTTGGAGTTTCGGAAACATGTTGTCAGTAGTTCATAAAATGAAAGAACAATGTTCGTTTTACTCAAACATGTACGTATAAACAGTAAAATCTGAGAAACTGATCATCTTAAGTTGTCTCTTATTTTTTTCCAGGGCTGTAGTATTAATATTAGCAGAAAAAGACACAATTTTACTTGGAAAAACATCTTAAAATTGCGAGAAATTGTTGTTTTAATAAGAAAAAGCATAGTTATCAGTTCACGTAGCTCTTTCTTCAAAACAGAAAATTGTTTGCATAATTGTTTCAACTTACAATTTGCTGCTGATGTGCTAAAGAAAATTAAGTATTATCTTCACAAGATGCTCAACATTTCTCATTTCAATTTTTTATTTTTTTAAGTTGGAGTTTTGATAAAATTACAACTTTATTCTCATTATTTCAACCCTATTCTTGTAATATAATGTCTATATTCTCGTAATAAAACAATTGTAGCCTAATAGTCCATCATAAAGTTGCATTCAAAATCCAAATAAATAGAAGCTTGCAAAACAAGATGGCTGCCTTGGGCATACTGACATCATGGGGAATCCATATTTTCCTAAATTAAAATGTTCAAAAACCAAAAAATTTGATTTATTGTAAGCCCTAGGAAAATGTGTAACTTATCATCTCAAACGTATTTTTGAACTTTCTTCACATTTGGCTTATTAAAACTACAAACTTGACAGAGCAACACAAACTATTGCATTAATGCTATTTGAAAAGAAGACGATGGTTTTCAAAATACTTTTGATGTAGCAATCTGAAAAGTGTGGAGTGTTTGTGTATTTAGCCTTCAGCTTCCAATCTTTCAGATTTTTATTTGTAAAAAGAAAATGTCGTCTTTCGTCTCCTCTTCCTGCTGATCCTCTGCTTAGCGTTGCTTTCTGTATTTTGAGTTTGTAACGTGACAAAATGTGGGGAAATTCTGTACTTTTACAAAATGCTGTGTGTCTATGATGCTGTATAGAAAAGTTGAAATGTTGCATTGACTAAAACGTTTTTTTTATTTCCTGACAGAGCTCAGTCCTCGAGCATTAACCTCTCCAGGCAGGCTGGTAAGCGTCACCTTTTGATTTTACTCCTCTTCACCCTGTGAGGTTTTCTTGCTTTAACTTGGAGAGCTTCTTTAAATAAAATACATTTTTTAACGTTAAGTCCAGTTTTTAGAGTTTTAAGATCAAAACCAGGTTCTTCGTTGATGAGCTGGTGAGAGGACATTTCCTACATTGCCATAAATCCACCATCTGGCTTGATGTCAGTAAACTGACACACATTGCTCTCCATCATTTGCCTCCGCTGGTTCACCCATTAGCCTCTTTCCCTCCTCTTCCTCTCTATTTTTCCCCCACTCTCCTGTTTTCATCCTCTACCTCTCCTTCGCTTTTTGCTCATCCCTGTTTGCTATCCTTCTAGTCCCTGTCATCAAAGAAGTTTGACTACCGACAGTTTGCCGCCATTCCTTCTTCCAAACCCGTATACGACATTCAGGTATTGGCTGCATGCTCAGCTCCGGGGGGCCACCGCCCCAACCCGCCCCGGCCTCCTCCCTCCCTCTTTACCCCCCTGGCTTTCCCTGCTGCCTCCCCTCAAGCTACTGTTGATCAAGAGGCATCAGTGTGGCTGCAGTCTAGGTCGTGGCTCAGTGGTAGACGTGTGGTACACTAACTCGTGCTTTGCAAGGAAAGGAATGTTGAAGTAATACTCTCTTTCTCTCATATAAAAACATTATCAGTAACCATTCACAGCTTTTTATATCGCTACGCTAACTGATTACTACGAAACGGTGAAACTTGCCTGCTGCAGACATGGACTTTCTGAATCCACTAACCTGAATCGGTTATGGCTACAAATTCAGCATCTCACTCACTCTCTCGTTCACTTCCATCCTCCTTGTCCATGCATGGGTCATGACATTTCAGACAGAAGAACTTCTTCTTAGCTTCTGGCTCTTTAAAACATCGGTGTCCTCCTTTTGTCGTCATTTTGTTCCCTTATGGATGAGTGAAGCTAATTAGCTACAGCCAGGAGAGTGTAGAAAACAATTAGAGGTGATTTGATACCATCTAGTGGTCAGAGTGTGAACTACACATGTTTCAGGAAGGCAGTGTGCCAACCTCATGGATAAACTCAGTAAATAATCCAAGTTGTGCAATAAAAATATATATTTTTAGGCTCACTAACATCTTCTGCACCTTATATGCTAGAATAGACGATATATAACCAAAATTCTCACTTATTTCTAATTTTAGGTTTGAAGCTTTTTAGCGACGCTAAAAAGCTTCACTTATTTATTGGGAAATAAGTGGCACTAGTATGAATATGAAATAATTTAGAAATAGTGAATTTATTTCGCTTTTAGAACTTTGCATCCAAGGCAGGAGTTTAAAACTTATTTTTATTTCAGGCCACATTAAGATCATGAATGTGCTTAAAGGGCTAGTTGTGGCAAAATGTACTGATAAAATGACATAAAACTTTTAAAATAGGAATAGAAAGTTAAATAATTCTGAACATATTTTTGCATTAATTAATATAAACACTGCTTTGATTTGATAGATAAAAACAATATTTAGACACACAATGAGCAGGTATGTGCCTGATATGTGTATGATAGGTCTGTGTGAAAAGTTACAAAGAAGAATAAAGCACAGAATTCCCAACATTTATGGATTTATAAATATATTATGGGAACGCTTAGTGTCATTCTGGAAATTGTATCAAGTTAAAATAAAACCTGGATTTCTTTACCTCTATTTAAAAAGTCGTGATCAATTTCATACAGTTATCTAAAATATATTGAAATTCAGTTCGTAAAACTGATTTAATGTTGGAAAAAATGGGAACGAAATCCCTGGGACTGTGCAGCAAAGGAAATGTACAGAACTCAGCTTGATTTAAAACACTAGTGATAAAAAAAAAAAAAATCTACTTGACTTGATTTCAGTCTTATTTGAGCAATAGCAGCATCAATAAAATAATCAAAATATTTATTTTGAACAGTCTGTCTCATCCCTTAAAGTGGATCTTATTAGCATCATATCCAAATTTATGCTACTGGTAGATACAATGTTCAAATTTATAATCTCCAAGTAATTTAACATTTGATTGTAAAAACACCTGTAAAATTTTTGCACGATTGGGTATAAATTCAGGCATTAAAGGGTTGACAATACTTTCATAATGTCTCCTGTGGAGGAGAGGATGCAGGGGAAACCTGTGGTTGTGCCGGTCTTCGGGTCTTATTCGTGTGCGTCTGTCGGTTCCAGCGTTGGGTTCAGTGTGACGTCTGTGTGCATTTTTAGTTGCAGTACGTTTACATGTTGTATCAGTGTTTATTACGGATGGTTGGTCATTCCTAATCTGAATATAAACTCATAAACTAATGTGTTGGTACCACAAGGTGGCAGTAATGCACCAAATGTATTTCAAGTAGACCTATTAACCAAAATTCACATTTTGCACATGTTTATACTTCCATTACATCTCAATTGCTTGTAAAAAAAACAACCTAAGCGCTTAAAATAACCACACAGCCAAAAAGTTACTTTTTTTTTACATTAAGTATTTTTATGGGTGTCTGGAAAATGAGCCCTTTCAAAAATCTCCGGAATGTATCATCACAAATCAACTTGCACTACGCGGTTACTTAGCAACCCCAGAGAAGCAAAGCACGTTACCTAGCAACCCAGCTGAGCTCCAGCATGTTTGGTCAGCTGGTTTTGCCGCTGTATGTACAATGGCTGCTGGAAGTGTTTTGTTGTTGACTTGCCTCCAGAAACCACTTGCTGCATCCTTGTTGGTTGTGCAGGAAGCCCCACTTCTGCTCTTCAAGGATATACAATTGTATAATCGGGCATCTGCTTGCAGCCATTTTGACACACGAGTGTAAAGGTTGAGTTGGGGGGGCGTGGCCTGCAGCAGTTTATTTGGATTTAAAGTGACAAGACGCCCTAAAACATCTCTTTCTGAAAGGAGCTCAAAACAGGCAAAACTGATCAGACTGAAATCTCGTCTAAGAATGATCATGTTTTGTTAGCTCATAGGCAGATCCTAAACTGTTCAAGGAAGCATAATATGTCAGAAACATGAAGGAATTATTTTGTTATATCTCTGCACCTTCCAGTTTACTGCAGGTTAAAATTATGAGCATCAACAAGCTAAAGTAGGAACTGACTTGATGCTGCGTTGTTTGGTGCCTACTGTTCTCCGTGGACGATATTAACGCATCGACTTCTACATCGATTCTCCTTTATGGGTTCCTGGTGGGAGTGGGGTTGTGGTAGAGTAGATAATCTTCTGAAGGTTCAGTGACAGGTCGCTACCCTGGCAGCTCCTCTACTCAAGTGGTGAAGGATTACTGTGAGAAATAGGCTTTTAAAGCATTTTATCACCACCTCCCTGTTATTCACTGAAGCCTGTTTTTTTCCCAGACCCCTGACGCAGCAGAGGAAGTGCAATACATCGACGCCTCCAGTAATGCTGGTATGTACGGTTTCATTTTGCACTGAAACGGACTTAAAAAACAGTTTTACCTCAACCTTTTCTATTCCCTTTAATTCAGGTAACGACCAGGACTAAGCAGCTCCTATTGGTAGGATCCTGTGTGCATGTGTGTGTTGGCTGGATGTGTGAGGGGAGTTTGTTCGTGTCGGTCTAACCTGCAAGTTGTGTGGCAAAGCTTGGGTTCAGGTTCTTCTGCTTCTGCTATCCTGATCTGCAAAATGTATGTCGGGTCAGAACTATTGCCAGGTGGCTCTAAAGACTTCAAGTCTTTCTTTCAAAACATGGCAGTTCATGTTGATGCTGCATCTACTGTTTAGGTTTTTGAGTAAAGTCGTCTATTTAGCTGCTTTATTTGCAACGAAGATGTGACCATTTTATAGAGACACACCAGTTATTGTTCTTCTAATGGCCAGATTCCAGTTTCAGATAATTTTTTACTGGCAACAACCTTGATGAACTGTCAATTCGCCTGTCAAACACACCATAGATACTGAAAATGTTTTTCTTCTTTAATTACATCCACACTAAAGAGTGTTTGAAGCACATTTAAAGTGGTTAAATTTGCCTACTAACGCATCTGTATTGTTTGTATTGGATTTAAGCCGGACGAGCTCTCGGTACTTGATTAACTGCATGGATTTGTTTTAAGATTGAACTAATAATTAATGAGAGGTCTTTTATGTTGTCCCTTGAATGGGTTTAGGATCCTTTGGACTCATGTAGAAATGCACAGATATGAAAGTCCAGTCCGCTTTAATCAAGCTAGTTTGTTTTCCTTGAAAGTCCAGTTTGTTTGGGAAGGAATGAATGAACAACCAAACTTTGATTGGACCAAAAAAAGTGAACTCTGGTCCCCTAATAACCCAGGTCTCTGTTCCGTTGAAGCAAACTCTGGTGCGTTTTGAATGCATATGTGCTGTTTGTAATTTTTTTTGTTTTTCACACAAGAGTCCCAAACTGGAACCTTTGTTGCATATTTCTAATACAGCCATAAATTTGACACCCAAGCAATATCTGCAAATAACGATAATAGACGACAAGGCCTCTTCTGTCAGCCCTTCAGGGGTTAATTTTTGCTTCAAAAACTAATCTGATGGGACGCTGGAAAAGACTATTGTTGTGCAAAATGGAGTTAGATTATCACTGAAGTTATTTAATTCTAAAATGGCATCTCAGTGCAAAACATTTTTTTTTCAGAGCTTGAAAGCTGTATAACGGTATATATAAAACTGTATAACAGAACTGTGCACCAATCTGATGGTTGAATGACGCAGATAAACCGGTTAAAAACAAATGTTTTTATTGTTGTGCTCGTATGGCTGCAATTAACTCCATAAAAAAATTACAATTAAAAGCACAACAGGAATCTTAAAGTGGGACCTGAATAAATCTAGCCGTCATCTCCGGTGCATGTAAACAGAAATCATTTGAAATCTGGGTTTTCTTGCTGCTGATTCTGCCGTTTTCTAGCTGCTGCTGCTCAGCGTGGGGCACATCTTGCAGGTTTCAGGGCGGTTTCTACGCAGCTGTTTATCAAAATAACACGTTTAAAAGGTCTTTTGTGTTGCTTTGTGTTTCTGCAGGGCACGGCCCTGAAGTGGAGGCTCCCGCCCCGATGCCCACCACCTCAGCCCTGGAGGAGATGGCCCTCTACAGCAACAAACGCAAACTGAGGCAGGGCCGCCGCAGCCTGGAAGCCGCTGTGCCGACGTAACACAACCAAAAACGATAACCCAGAGAGGTCGCCTCTCCAAATATAACCACTGCAAAGACTCTGAAGCTTTTAGTCGCCACATAGATACTCACTTATATCCTGCGTGCCAGTCTTGCCTTTATAGTCTGTGGGTGAGTCGGCGAGCTCCGTACCTGGACGGGACGAGTCGGTGTGGTTAGCTAGGATTGCTACTTGCAGATGAATTATTTTCTTAAATCTCCTGTTTGCCTCGTAGATCAGATCTATTTTAACTTGAGGGTGATCAAAGTTTTTAGTTTTTGTTTGTTTTTTATTTCTGCACCATTGTGATGTTGCTGTTATGAAAAAAAGCATAGTGGAAACAGGAAATGAGAAGAAATGGGTTATAGTTTTACTAACTTCAGCGATTAGATTGTAAAGTGTCTGTTTTTAATGATTTGTGGTGTAAATATTAACTGAGGAGGGAACAGCTTGCTACCTTCATCATCTTATATGGTGGAAAATCTTTTCTCTTGAAGCACATATCATTTATTCACTGCCACTGTATTATAATTTATTATCATTTTAGACGAATCGAAGGCCTTCATTCTACATTTTCAGCTCTTTTGAACTCAAGATGATTTCCTAATACTCATCTGCATATCACTACTTATATTTACTTTATAAAAACACTTAAATCACAAGGGGAATTGTTGCAAATATGATTTAAATGTTTGGACGAACGCGCCTACTTGCTGTTCATCCCTGCAGCCTCTGTTCAGACTAACCCTCGTTACATTCCCCTACAGAGAGGACAACTACACTGGACACAGCAGCAGCAGATACTCCCCAAATGAGAGTATTAGTACTTGGGATCATGCATTTTATCATTTATCAATGGTACTTGCCCTTCTAAGGGTATTGTGTGTTTTTGTATTTTTATTTTTAAATCAATGTGAACCATTAATGCTACCCTAGCATCTTTTGCGTTATCTGGCTATTTTTTTTACCACAGTGATGTGAAGGTAGCAGGGAGTTTTATTTTTCCAACTATGGTTAACTTAAATCTGATGCCACTGAAAAAAATCATTTATCGTGTGAATAATGTACAAAAACTGTAAGGAAGAAGAGAAAATATGGGTTGGAAACTGAGCCTGTCTGGACTGCTGGAGCATCTGGGTGAGGTTGAGGCTTGGTGTTGGGATGCTCTCCATGTAAACTGGGAGAGCTGCAAAACATTCTGCAGAATCACAGCATCGTAGCATTTTGTTAATTTAATCTAGGGTCTGTGATTACTTTTCCATGTTGCTCTCACTGACTGAAATTCAGTTTATCATTTGCTGTTTTTTTTCTTTTTTTTATTTGTAGGCAACTACTTTTTTTCCCCAGAAGAGTTTCACTACATTCAAGCCGTGTTTTTATGTTTTCTGTGTTTCTTATTTTTGTCTCAAGTTCTTTTTGGGGGCTTTAACTTGCTAACAGGCCAGATGGTGCAGGGTCAGACGTGCTAGGGTCAAGGGTTATAGCTCATATAAGACTGTAACTAGTGAATTTGTACAACCAAAGAAGTCTATTTTGTGGTTCAGGAATAATAAATTTTACTTTTCATTTAAGAAGCGAATCCAGTCTGTTGTCGTTTGTGCTTGGGAACATTTGAAACAGAATGTATATAAAATTACATTCTTTTTTTCCCATGAAAAACACAAGCTTTTTATTTCTTCTTACAATAATAAATCTAACTGAACTTTTCCTTGTTTATGGTCAATCTCAAAACCATAAACAGGAAGACCATGTGTTCAGTCCAGCTAAATATCACGTTTAGAAGTACCAATGTTCAACCACCATTTTTGTTGTTTTAACCAAGTTAATTTGTTTTCTAAAATGTCTACCTCAGGAAATTATTTTAAAGAATCCAATTTTCTTTGTTTTTAAGAAAATTGGATAATATTTTCATGTAACAAATATTAATTTATTCCATGAAAAAATAGCTTAAAGCATCATTGATTAAATTTATATTTTAATTAATCTCACTTTAAGTCCGTGTTATATGAAGTTCCCCTTTACCCTCTTAAATCTGAACCGGAAGTCATCTGCACCACTGAACCGCCATCTTGGTTAGCAAGTGCAGCGTGAATCTTTGATCCATGGCTTCAAGACCAACAAAAAGAAAGCTTATTGACACATTTGACCAATGAGCAGGAGAAAAATATATCAACAAAATCACCAGTATGATAATGGAAACATGTCAGAATGTGGACAATCTGCCTCCAATCTCCTACTGTGACACAGTACATTACTTGGTGAACAGGAAGAGCGCTTACAACATGGAGGACGCTCCCAACCTGAAATCCATGGATGAATAAAATCGATGTTTAAAGGGCTTTGTAAAGGACGTGCGAACTATTCACGTAAATAAGGTTCTGGTGAGTAGCAAAGTAACACATGATTCTTGAGAATAGGGACAAAACAGGTATGGATGAAGCACAAAATTTGAATAAAATATACACAAA